AAAGTAATTCTGTGATGAAAGTACAGATGAGCATCATTCGAACTGGCATTGCGATGGCGGGGTTAAGTCCAAAAGTCGCAGCAAAAGTAGCAGTAAAAGTCGCAATAAAAGTATTAATTATTAAATATTATTTACTGCTACTTTTACTGCGACTTTTACTGCGACTTCAACTGCGACTTTTAGTGCGACTTTTAGTGTGACTTTTAGTGCTACTTTTACTGCTTCTTTTACTGTTACTTTTACTGCTACTTTTACTGCTACTTTTTCTGCTACTTTTACTGCTACTTTTACTGCTACTTTTACTGCTACTTTTACTGCTACTTTTACTGCTACTTTTACTGCTACTTTTTCTGCTACTTTTACTGCGACTTTTACTGCGACTTTTACTGCGACTTTTACTGCTACTTTTACTGCTTCTTTTACTGCTACTTTTACTGCCTCTTTTATTACTACTTTTCTACGATTTTTACTGCGACTTTTACTGCTTTTTTTACTACTACTTTTACTGCTGCTTTTACTACTACTTTTACTGCTATTTTTACTGCTACGGCAGTAAAAGTAGCAGTAAAAATCGCAGTAAAAGCAGCAGTAAAAGCAGCAGTAAAAGCAGCAGTAAAACCAGCGGTAAAAGTAGTAGCAAAAGTAGCAGTAAAAATCGTAGTAAAAGAGGCAGTAAAAGTAGCACTAAAAGTCACACTAAAAGACGCAGTAGAAGTCGCAGTAAAAGTCGCAGTAACAGTCGTAGTAAAAGTTGCATTAAAAGTCGCACTAAAAGTCGCAGTAAAAGAAGGAGGAAAAAAGAAAAAGATATGTGTCGCTCGTAATTTATGAATATTAACGAGCTTACCTTAACAAGTAGGCCACGTTCGCCACATGTCTCCGCCATGATGCTGGAAAACGACTTGAGCTCGCGATAAGAATAGCCCTCATGCCCTTCGTAAGCCGAAAGTCGCAGTGAAAGTCGCACTAAAAGTCGCACTAAAAGTAGCAGAAGAAGTCGCAGTAAGAGTTGCATTAAAATTTTCAGTTCAAGTCTCAATAAAAGTAGCAGGAAAGTAAAAAATAATGTGTGTTTTCTATGGGGCTTTATAGCCGGTAGAGTCTGGGTACGCGTAACAAAATCATGGTTGTTTACCGTCACCTGGTAACAATGAGTCACCTGACTTCTAAACTTCGGCATGATCGCGGTGTTCTGGAACAAAACAATTAATTGTCTCTAGCGGTTGTTTTCGGGGTTGGAGGTTCGTCATTTTACGAAAAGAGCGACAGTCGCCGTCTACTCAATCAAAAATTAATTATCGAGTTAAAAACGCGAACAACTGTGAGAAAAACATGGCAAGTTCATCCGGATTCCGGGCGGCTTCGGCGGGAAGGTTTCCAGATAAAACATGGCGAGCTGGAACTCCTAGTCTTTATCACGAGAAATGTGCACCTCAAAAGGAAAGAGTTAGGTCTGCTCCTCCAAAAAACTACGCGCAGAGAGATTATGCCATGTGTGATGTCGTTAGGAACGATGAGATTTGGAAGAATCGCTGTCGGAACGAAGGAAAAATGACAAAAAAATGGTAAGAAAATAACACTTCTCTTCTGTTCGTGAGAGCTTGTTTCCGGGTTCGAATGTTCGATTCTTTATTAAAATCATGAGATAACTCTTTTTTTGCATGGTATTTTGATAATGGTATATGACTACTCTTCGCATGAGAGTTTGATCACAGTCGATTGCATAGGAAGATGTTGTAAATACGTAATTATTTGTCGTCGTGGAAGCGATTATAGATCGATTGTCAGCTGAGTCATTGTTGGGACACGTCACGTTAGCTGTTCCTGATATTGACTGTTTGCGGTCATCTCAACTTTCTTATCTACCTTGTTTATAGATAACAGAAAGGCTATGCTCAATATCATCTAAGGTCTGAAGGGGTCGCACTTGGAATAGGAGAACCGTTTCCTGGATTCCCAACTGAAATCTTTTAACGAAAATGAGTAATGTTGTTGTAAATGACACCATTTGGAAGAATCGTTGTAGCGAAGAAGTGAAAATTAGGAAAAAGTGGTATGATTTCTGGCATTTCTGTTCATGTGGGCTACTTTTTGTGTTGAGTCAAACACGCGATGGACGGAAACTTTTATGTGATCTGCCGTGACGACCACAAGCTGTACTTCTTAAGATCAGAATTTGTGGTTGCTTCTCTTTAATTTTTGCTCTCTATTTTTGTTGTAAAAGGAATCATAGCTTTCCTCTTAAGCAACCCTAAGCAAATTTTCATAGTCCATGAACAGTTATATATTGGCAGGTGTTTAGTGGAACTCACAATCAATGAAGTCATACTTTATTTATAGTGAAAATTTCTGTATGTTGCTAAGACTTAACTATGAAGAAAACAGGGAACGTTTACGAACCGTACGGGCCTGAAATTTTTTTTTCAGGTCCTACTTACAACTTCTAGTTTCAGTAGTGTTCTTAGCTGCATTTCTAATTTCATCTTTCCACCGCAGTGCAAATATGTGAATTTTCATATATCTAAAATCTTCATTCACTTGGATGTTTATTCGGACCCAATTCATTGACCAGCTTCCAGTTGGCTTGTTAGCTCAATTGGTAGAGCGCTGCACCGGTATCGCAGAGGTCGTGGGTTTTTTCAGGTCCTACTTACAACTACTAGTTTCAGTAGTGTTCTTAGCTGCAAGGATCTTCTAATTTCAGGGAACGTTTTGTTTGCATGTATGGCTTGATTCCAAGGAAGAATTCACCAAGTCTTTTTAATCTCTCTACTTCCAAATTTCCTTCACATAACCCAACTCAGATTTCTCTTTAGGCACCTGAATGTGAAAACCAAGCAAAGATATGTAAAAATTTCAGGGGTAAACAAATAAGTGTCATGAGGAAACTGTGGGTTGAAAGCAGCAATTGTGAAATTGAATTTTATCCCAAAATTGGTAATAATAATTTAAGGATATTATGCTTAAATTTTTGTTTCTGTGTGTGTTTTTAGGGAGGAGAATTGGGGATTTCTGAAAGATTATGACCCAAAGGTAAGAAAATGATGAAATGATTAAAAAATTTGTAAAGAAATATTTTATTATCATGAATGTGTGAGCAATACCTCAACCTCTAAAGCCTCAGGAATGAATTTAAGTATAATTTTTTTTTAACTGAAATAAGATAATCAAAATCTTCAGCTTTAATAATCATGATTATTTGTTTTCATCAACTGAGCTGATTATGTGAAGTAGGGGTAAGTTTCTAAAGAAACTATGATGTTGCGTCGGTGGGAGAGTATAGCAGGTAATTTAGTGTAAACAACTGAGTTGAAAATGTAAATTAGCCACCATAAAGGGTGAAAAAAGCTCTGTTGAAGGGCTTATGCTCAAAACATCAGCTTTTTTACCCTTTATGGTGGCTAATTTATGTTTTCAACTCAGTTTTTTACACTAAATTACCTGATTATGTGAAGAGACCACTTCAAAGAGTTTTTAAAGATGAGATTTCAAGTATTAACCCTTTGTCAGAGTGAACAGAGAACGTGGTTCTGTGTTATTTGTGTATACCAAAAGGAGGACTTATATTGATGGTGTAAACATGGCAACATGAACAACACAAGAATAAACTCATGGAATAAAAGCACTCATTGACACTCATGGACAGTTAACATTTCTCATGTCTTACTTCTGATTTTCCTCAACAAATCGAATTTCAGAAATCTTTTTGGATTCTGCAATTTTCTGAATTTCCCACTAACCTTGGAATTCAATTTTCATTACTTTTGTAGGGAAGGCTCAAGGCAAAACGGGAATTACCTGAAAAAGTAAGCGTCTACTCTGACAAAGTTCCAAACACAACAAGTCGTCAATTTGGACACAGAGCCAAGAGTGCACCAGCAAGAACGATGCAAAAATTCGAAAGACTCATTAGCTACAGGACAAAGACAAACAAGGAATTAATGTGTTATGACTGATAGAATCAGTCACTATGACTGGTAGAATCAGTTAAGATATGAGTAGATATCACATTGTGTGAGCAGACAAGTTCAGTAGAGAAAGATTATAATTTACTTGACAAAATATTGCTGCCGAGTGTTTTTGAGAACATGCTGATAGCCATAAGCATTGTACAGTTTCTAATTAGCATTAAAAATATCAAAATAATATTTTGGCCAACAGTATATGTTGCACATAAATGTATTGTACATTCAGTGTTAATGTTATTAATATTATTACTATAAAGCTGTTAGTAAATATAAAATATACTACTATATATTTTAAAATAGTAGGCACTATGCAATAGTTTTTATGAAATAAAATACATGTATGTTTTGGGAATTGTATTAAAGAAATAAGGTTTTGGTATAGCTGAGGATCCAGAAGAAAAATGACATCAGAAAAGAAGTACTGTAATTTTTGTTGTGAAATAGTGGAGAAATGATTTAAAAAGAGCAGTTTTGTTGTGAAGTAAAAGAGAAATAATACAGACTATGTAATAAATAGAGATAATCATGGGTAGTGGAAGATGTGATTATCAAAGTAAAGAAATCAAATACTGTAACTTTCTGAACGAGTACCCACAGCACTTATCTAAGCCCTTCACATCATAACATCAGTATGCATATTCTCCATACTTTTCTCTATAAATTTTCTGAGGTGTAGACAAAGGAAATTTGTTTAACAATCATCAGCTTCTTTAGTTGGTGATCATTTCCTTCAGGGGTGGTATTTTTGGAAGAAATAAGTGCTTATCATGGGGTGAAAGGATTACCCTCAAAGAAAACTGGGTGAGGGGGTGGGGGTGGGGAATGGATGTTTCACATAGGCAGCACTTGTTAGATTTTTCCTTAGTTATGGCCAGTTTCAAAAATTAGTGATTTTTAGCAATACACCATTTGCACACACAAAAGAAAAACAGATGTGAACTGTGTATTGATATAAAGAGCAGAACTGTTTTTTTTTTATTATTATTATTATTATTCTTATTTTTGGAGTAAAAGAATCTTGAAGTCGGTCTCTAAAATCACGCAAACAAGAGGGTGTGGCGAAAATTGTAAGACCACATGAGGAATTAAACCCCCTTTCAAACCAAGACCTTCAGGGCTCTGTCTGCACTTAGCAGGATAAATTTGGAAACGGCATTTTCACTTTAAAAATAAATTTTCTTCGTTTAAACTGTGGGAATGCAGAGAAAAAGTCAACAAAAACAACGAACTGCGACCTGACATCAATCATAAACTCGAAATTTATGCATGCATTGCAGGCCTACACCTACTCACAACCAACAGCAATGTGGGTAATGTACTTACGGCGCACTACCCACGTAAGCCATCTGTCTTTACTACAACGATCTCCTACGACGGGAGAGCCATTTTCGTCCGCAGCGTCCTCCTTCTTATTGGTCATGTGGTCAAAGAAACGGTTACGTAACTGTGAATGGAAACGAGTGGCTCTGGGGACGATCATGATTTATCAAGGCGTGGCATGCGCAAACTATTCCACGAAACAACACTGACATCGGTGTTCAGAGGGAGGGGGGGATTGAGGGGCTAAAAAAACGGCGTAAAGCGAAGTTTAAGTATTTATGCGAAGAGAAAATAACGTCCCATTAATTACTGTTGCTTAACAATAATTTAAGTTTGAGGTTGTTCTTGTAGGGGATCGTCGTAGAGGGGCTGTTTCTCCCCCTATGTTAAGTGCAGCATCATCAAAATCCAGTAAGAACATTTCTGTCTCGTTGTGACCCAAAGAACAGCCATGAATCCGCAAACTCCTGTCATCTTTGAAGGAGGTCTTCGCAGTCGAGAGAGCCAGGCCCTCTTCAATTTTTCTTTTCTGACATGGAACACAATAAAATGGATTCAGAGAGTTGTGGAAATCTCTATGATGGACTGCTTGATAATAAACCGATTGAAAGCGGTGCGGGCATTTCCGGTTCTCGTAACAAGGAAGTGGGTAAACACTGTAGAAGTGATCTAAATATTCCTCTCTCGATTTGAAGTAACTCCCGCATGAGCAATTGCATTTCTTGTGCGAGTTTCGCATATGTATTTCCAACTGGTCCTTCGTTAAAAACTGCTTCCGAGGGCAAAACTGACATGAAATTCGCAATGGCAAGGATGGACCTTTTTCTTGCTCTGTAAAGAAACCTGCTTTCGCTTCAATCGGTGGATAACTGTGGGGATTGATATTGTGTTCATGTTTCATGTGCGCTTTCTTCAAATCATCCGAACAAAACAACTCTTGGCAGTGTATGCATTTCGTTTGTGAGGCCTTGTGCTTCAAAAGTACTTCTTCAGATGGAAATCTTTGACGGTAGCCATGGCACAAGGGGTTTTGACAGAAGAAGTTGTGTTGTTCAAAGTTATGTTTGTCTGTCTCTTCTGTGCAGGCAAACACGAGGCGACAAAATCTGCACGAATCCTTCACAACTTCAAAAATATCCATTTCCAGACCATTGATCTCTTTAATGTCCAATTTTCCATTAAACAACTTCAAATTCGCAATAAGTTCCTCATACTGTCTCTCTCGCTCTGCGACCAAGAAAACTCGTCTCAGCGACGTATCTTGGTTGTCGCCTGACTCCTCAACGAGATCACCATATTTCTCAAGAAGGCACGCAATAAGCCCCGTATCAGATGCGTATGGGGATGTAGTGAGCGTGAAATGAGTTGTGATCCAGTCTGGATCTGATGGCGGAAGGGCTTTCACTGGAGTATCATTCCGCAGGAAAACGTGAACGCTTAATCGCGACTTTGCGTCTGGGGAAGTAAATTTGATGTCTTCGATGAAGTTGCGGCAGCTGCCTTCCCACACCAAATAGAATTCATCGTAATGTCTTCCCGCGAACATCTCTATTGACTCTTAGTTGATGGCCCGTCGATCTCACATGTACGTCTTCAAAGCAGCGGTGCTTTAAACGTTCTCGCCAATAACTGACTGAAGGATGGTCCAAAAAAATACTATTAAAATATTGTATTTCCATCCGACTGAAACAGTTCCCGACACGCAGGTGAACAAACGGGCTGACAAACATTATTATCATAAGCGGCTTCAATTCGGCGTGAAAACAAAAAGAACGTTGACATCTTTGAGTCGTCTTCGAATGAAAAGGGAAGTTTGGCAAGAAATACAAACAGCAAGTCTTGACCAGACGTCTCTAAGACAAAAGAGTTCGTGCTTTCTATATATTTAGGTCACTGAGAACTCTGAACACCGCGATTAATAATTAGAATTACAAAGGCCGGTGAAGAACACGAAATTGCAGTGTTGAAAGGTTGTTGATTGAGTTGCAATATTGGTCCAGCTTTCAGTCAGTTATAATCCTCTTTCATCCCGGCTAAGAATCATTGTGAAGTGGTACAATTAACAACTAATTGTAAAATGGCAGTCTAATCACGTGAGAACAAAAGAGTGTATCTTTGACCATTAGAAAGCGGTACTTTTCTTAATGAAAATACTTTTTGACAAAAATTGAGCCATGTTTGCGTATCAGTCATCTATCGGTCTGTTTGAAGAGAGACCGACCAACCGCTGTATCAACAAAAACAAACTCTCTTAATTGAAACTCGGGATGAAGGTTAGAAGTCAAAATTGACAGTGTATATTTCAATCAAAGAGGACTTGTGGTATCAGTTTTTACTCAATAAGCCAAAAATATTATCTTCGACTCTTTTCTTTATTTTTAGAATGTTTCTCATGGTTTTGCTTGGATGATTATGGCTTAAGGGGCGTGAAACTCGACGGAAAATATTATCGTGGTTAATCCAACTTAATTCGACCAAGTCACGAATCGGAGAAGGATTCTTCGAAGTTCCAAACTACCTCCTCCATGAAAATAATTTGGGACAGAGACAGAAAGATCCGGTTACCATGCATCTGGAGTTATGTTTATATCTGTTATTTACCTTTTTTTAGTATTTCTATTTATTTAATATTTTTAAACATTTCTGGACTGGTGATTTTTCTGCTTTTTGCGCAATTTTTTTCGCGGCTCGAGGTCACCGTAATTTCTGCCGGTAACTTACCTTCGCGACTTTTTTTAAAGGCATCAGTTTGTTGACTGATTTGAGAAAACGCGAAAAAAAAATTTGAGCATAGGCTGCTTATTAGATTTTTTTATTGAATCATATCTGTGAATCTCTGAGAGCGTTGCCTTCAGTTGAGGAAATAAAAAGATTGGAAAAAAAAACTAGTGTCAGTAAAGCCTACTCACGAATAATACTTCCCGGGAGTTTTTTTCCTTTTCATCGAACTGAATGTTGTAAGTTTTATCCTGCCGAGTTTTGATGATCTTCTGTACAATAAAACAATGTCAAACACGTCAAATACTTGTAAAAATACTTAACTGCTGGTATAACGTGACGTTTCGTCTCGGTCCAGAGGTTCATCAGTAACCTTTCAAAATGTCCGCGCAAACTTACTGACCATCGAAAGTTAGCGAATTACTTACAACCACCTAGAGGGTGTTCTCTTGATCACAAGAGATTTATTCTTCCCTGCTTGATACAGCATGAAATTCTCCCGAATAATTTCCAAAAAAATGTATGACAGGCAGAAGAGAGAACTGCTAATCATATAATGAAAATTAGGAGGTTTCATAACCCACAATTGACCTCTTCTGTGTAGTTATATATCCTGAAGTGGTTTAGGCCTGCTTATCAAGGTTTTTCTCGTGACTCCAGTTAAGGGTTGTTCAAAGCTTGGCCTATGCTGATTGTTCCTTATTCCAAGTCCAATGTCGATATTTGGGTTTCCAATCCAGCTTTTTGGTTAGTTCTTAGTATCATTCGAATTTCTTCTGCTTTCTTCGAATTGTGCTTTCGATACAGGAAGGAAATGTGTTGTATTGCATCATACGGCGGCAGAATGAGCACAGTAGTTCTCGCGCTCAGCAGACACAAACATGTTTGATAATTAGGATAATTTTGAATGGGCAAGAGCAGGTAATATTCTTTGGTACCACGTAATTGACTGCATAAATTTGCCTTCACTTAGTTGTATCGTCATCCCTCATGGGCAACGTTTTCTTTACTTCCGCCTAGACTACAACTATCTGCAGACTTGTTAGGTGACTGACCGTTTACACGTGATGGTTCAGCCGAATATTCAGACAAATTGTTTTTTAGTTTATCAGCTGCGCTCTTACGGCTACTATCAACGTGTAGGTGACCACGATTATTTCCCAACTCTCCCTTCGTCTGTCTTTCACCAGCGGAAGGTGACGAAGTAATTGAAGAGGGCGAAGGATAAACAGCGAAAAAATGATCCAGATATGACAATCGCTCGCCATAATATTTCCCACAAGGACAGGGACACTTTTTGTGCGAGCTTCGCTTATGAAGTTCTAGCACATCCGAGGAGCAGAACACCTTTGTGGGGCAAAATGCGCATCGAAGTTGATTTTTTATGTGTTCCTTTAACTCGGTTTCTCCGCGAAAAGAGTTTTCCTTTGCGTTAAATTTGCATTCCTGGTTCGGGCAAACAAATCCATGGCTCTCTCTGTCGTGAATATCCAGCTCCCTCTTTTCAGTAAAAGCAATCCTACAGTAGGGACATTTAAATTGTAGAAAATCTAGTAATGTTGTTGTTGTGGTAAATTCCACGCATTCCAGCTTGACTTGTTGCATTTGATCAACAGTTTCAGCCAGCTTTTTACATCTTTCTGTCGATTTTGAGATCACGTAGTACGCTTGAGTGGGAACAGATTTACCAACAAATGCATCAGAACCACCCCGACTACCCAGACTTGCTGAGGTTTTTGCGGTTCCCGGCCTCCTTTTTTCATGAGGTGTCGACAACGAATAGTTTGCTTCGAAGTTAAATCTCTTTACGTAAGACTCCAACAAATCCCAAGCGGAATTTTCCTGTTCTGAAGCTGCAGGATGCTTAAAAAGCCAGGGCTTGTACTTTGGAAGAAATTTCGTCGAAATTTCTTGCCTATAGAAGATGTGTAAAACAATGACGCCTCGTAGCGATGGCGACAAAGTGATTCCCTTGATAAAACTGACGAAGTCTGTATCCCATTCGACGAAGAAGACAATCCTTCGATTAGAATTCATGGTGAAGGCCTCGCAATACTTCTGTCTCTAAATTTCTATGATATTCAGTAATGTTAGCATGCCGAAAATATTTGCCTCTTCGGTTGAATTCGACGTATAATATTTCCAACGAAGACAACACTTGCAGCAGCCCACGAAGTTAAACAATAATAAATAATACTTCTTCAAAATTTCCTCACGTCTTCTTTACTTATTCTTATACATAGCAAAGGACACTAAACACTATCCACGAAACTGTTCCAGAAGGCTAAATAAGCTCCAAATGCGTAGGGTTTTGATAAGATGAATAATTTCCTGCGATTGTTTGCTCACCGTATCGTAAAATATGTTTGTAAGGCCCCATAGCAGGTGTTAGATCTTTCTTAAAGTGTTTCATGTCGCATGGTAACCGATGCTATATCTCACTTAATTTGCATTGAATGAGACCTGAATATTTCATTAACGAAAATACTGTCGGGTTAACTGAAGTTCGAAATTTTCTCTGAAATATTTATTATGCACATAAATTTCACAAATTGAGTTTGGTTTCTATTTCACAATTGGTTACAGTTTATTGACCCAGTCAGGGGTCACTCATCAATCTGTTTTTTCTGTTTGTTTTGGAAACGTAAACAAATAGGCTGACAGCGTTTTATTAAATTTTTGATAACTAGCGTAGATAACGCTTCTGTATGCACCTTGTAGCTTCGGAATAATGAAGAATTAAATATGACAAATTACGACCGCACACATTCCCCTATCCTGTTTCCGCCTGTGAATCTCCTCTCTCTCTCTCTTTCTCTCGTTTGAACGTTCTATAGTTTTTTTTCTACAAAAAAAAAAGAAAATTATTTCGTTTTGTGACGACAACGACAACGACAACAAAGACGGATGAAGCGTCGGAGGCGACGTTAACGATGAGGACGATGACGTAGACGATACCGTCGACGATGATGACGACACACGCACGCTTACAAAGCTCAAAAATTAATAATAAAAAGTACAGAAATAAAAAAATGAAAAACCAAAAGAAACAGGGGCGGATACAATTTTCATTTATACTAGCGAGGCAACAATGCACTATTTATGCGATTCGATCAACGTTATGACAAAGGACGAACGCTCAAAACGTCGACTTTAGGAACTCTTTAGGGTGGTCATTTACTTTACCAACTCAGTTGATGAAACCAAATTATCTTGTAAAACTCCCCCCTCCCCTCCCTTCCAGCTTCCCACCGCCTCTCCCCCACAGACGCATCACCCAGTATCTTTAGAAACCTACCCCTTTTAAGTCTTTATTTTATTTACAAGACTCCAGAAAGAAGTATGATACTTGACAGTAAAAGGGAGATTTATCAAAGCATAATTCCTAATGCTGAATGCAATTTTATCCATTGGCTAGCCTGGATTTCTAAATTTCGAGTTAAACAAAATAAATTCCACATACCCATTCCTTAGGTTTTACCATCTAATCTCTGTGTTGAATTTGTGATAAATTGCTTTGAGAACATTTCTTGGTGTCTCTTAGCTTTCTACAGGTGAAGAAGTCAAGTGAAAATGAATTCGTAGCAGAGAGAATCGCGTCCTGTCGAATTTTATATAGTTTATACTTAGTTGACACTTTCGCCAAAGCTTAGCACGGTATGCGGGCCTAGATAGCTAGATTGGCCGTCAATAGATTGGGTACGAAAAACACGTAAAACACTAAAAATGGCGGCAGAACTTGAAGATGCTCGTGATCACCTCTCTCAAAACACTAGAGCATCCGTTCGTTTCACGAGACAAGCTGGATTGGAAAGGAGAAGGCCTTCGTAAGTTCATCAGCGTTACTTATATTGTAATAATCTAAGTTGACGCTCTGACTCGTGGTATAAATGGGAAAAACGCGAAGAAAGCTTGATCGATTCGAAGATGTATGAGAAGTCGATTTTAGTGAACTCTCCTTCTAGCAAATCATTTAAACCGTGGTGTTATCTTTGTCTAGAAAGCGTCAAACTACATTAAGAAGCTTCAAGATTAATACAAACTGGAGAGATCGGTCAACGCAAGTCGCCACCACTACAACTGCCATTTCAAGTCAGGTGAGCAAAATGTGTAATTATTATTATCAACATCTGTATCGTCTTTACTTTATGGATCAATTGGTCTCCAACTAGCACTGACGAAGGGCCAACGCTCGAAACGTCAGCTTTGAAACTATTAATGGTGGCTAATTTACGTTATCAACTCAGTTGATAATACCAAATTACCTTGTTATTGCCTCCCACCAACACGGCCTGTATAGTGTCATTTTTTACCTTAAGATCCAGTTTCTTAATCCTGTAACCCTAAGAATGACCAGCAACTAATTTCTCCTTACAGAAATTCTTCCGAATCGTTCATTAAGAACGTGAGAAAAAAGGAGATGATCGGTAACCTAAGAAGCTTTGATTGTTCAACAAATTCTCCCTGCCAGTACTAAAGGGATGTGTAAAGGAAATAGTATGGAGAATATAGATTCTAATGTAAAGGGGAAATAATTGCCTTATAGCATCCTTTGCTTCTGTTTTTCAAAAGGGATTGCCAGATGCACTTCCAAGTGGGCAAGAACTATCTCCAGTGCCACCAACACCAGATCAAGGCCCTCCAAAGAACTCAAGAGATTCATTGAGATCTCCTTTGATAGAAAGTCTGGTGGCCTCAAAATCAAATGTTACCCACCATCTTGAGATTCTACAGGATAGTTCTCCCATTATCCCACGTCAAAGCAGTGTTTTAGCAGACCATGAGCAGGTGTTATTAGTTTCTCACTCTAGAACACCTGATGGAAGTCCAAGTTCAATTATATTGTACAGTTCAGAGGATGAAACTAAAACAGGTTTTTGTACCATTAATTATCTATGAATAAATTACCACAACTACCAGCTTTCTGTTTCCATCCAGTTTAAATTTTTATTTATGAACTTGTCTCTTTTTTTTCTTTTTTTTTAAATTCTTGTCTGTCAGCTATTTGCTGATCAGAAAACAAAGTGATAAAATTCTTGCTTTTATTTCTATCAACAGATCAAGGAAGCATGGTGAGAACTCCAAATCAATCTCCACAAAAGGTACAAGTAGACCAATTCAACCCTTTAACTCCCAAGATACAATGAATAATTCTCCCTACTGACTGCCATACTTTTTCTTGTAAGTTATACAGAAGAATTTAGTCTTATTTCAAAACAACACCCTCTAACTGATAAGTTTGTCTGTTCTTGTAACCTTTTTACAAGACTATCAATTGGAATTGCAAGGAGAAGTTGCATTTAATCTTTTCTGAGAATTATATGATTGACATAAGTCAGCTACTTATGTATATAATTAAGCTATTTAATTTTTATGATATTACTCACAGTCTTGTAGATTATCAACAAAAAGTTTTCATTTTTTTTATTTGCAGTTTTTATCAGACAAGACTCCTGTTTCAGGTCCTGTTGCATTTAAGACAAGAAATAGCAGAAAGAGAAAAGGAAAAGTAGCTGAACCAACAGGAGATGAGGAGATGGAATCCTTAGAAAATGAATACAGAAGTGAGAAGAAACCTCTCTCCAATTATTGACACATTTTTTGGAACACTCACTGTCTCAAATTTAGAAGAAAATGTCATAAGGCATATTAAACTCCAGATTAAATGAAGATCTAAGTTAATTAAAAGAATCTTCAACTTATAAAAAATAATTCTTTGTTTGCAGATTTGTATATCAGGTCATATTTACGAGAACAATGACAAACTTAAAATGGACAACAGATTTTTTTTGCAATATACTAATTGCCCTATGCTATAGTACAAGTCTGTTTGTGCCTAAAACTCATGCAAGTGTGGTTGCATGCTTCCTCTTACTAGAGCTGCTGATTTGATCTTCTGTTAATTCACCAATTATGGTTTGTTTCTTTTAGAAAATAACTTTGTGAGATTGTTTAATGCTGATCATGGAAGAAAAAAGAGAATGTCAGAGATAACAGATCTTGATGTTATTCTTACTGCTGTTGAGGAAGAAGCCTTGGAAATCAGGTGCTGAAATAAGAATGCTAGTCATTCTTGAGGGGTCAAAGGGTTATTAACCCTTTACACTCTAACATCAGTATGCATATTCTCCATACTGTTCTTTATACATTTCCTAAGGTGCTGACAAGGAGAATTTGTTTAACAATCAAGGGCTTCAATTAGTTGGTGATGATTTCCTTGATTCTCTTGACCCTAACCCTTTAAGTCCCACTAGTGACCAAGACAGAATTTCTCCTTACAATATCAGTACAATATCAAGCAGACAAGTGGCGAGAATAAAGATAAATATCAATTAGGGGATTATTGGTTGATCCAATTTCAAATTCTCCAAAGTAACAACACATAAATTGTATGGCAGACAGTGAGGAGAATTACTAATGAAATCTTGGGAGTTAAAGAGTTAATGTATGCTTCAGGGGTGATATTGTAAAGAAAAATTAGATGCTAGTCAGTCCTAGGAGTCAAAGGGTTATTAAAGAATTTCCATGATGTATATATTTTGATAGGAACGATATTGAGACAACAGCTGGGAAGCAAGCCATAAAAGAACTCTTCATACAAATGAGAAAAACATTCAGTGAAACTGTAAGTTACACTTCGAGTATTTGATACCATGAAACTAAGGTTGCTTGGTTATGCAGTTAATTTAGTGTTGACAACTGAGTTGAAAACGTAAATTGGCCACCATAACAGGTAAAAAAAGCTGATGTTTTGAGTGTTAGCCTTTTGTCAGAGCAATAGACAAAGGGCTAACACTCAAAACGTCAGTTTCTTTTACCCTTTATGGTTGTTCAAACTTAATGACCTATTATACTCTCCCACCAACGCAGCACCACAGTTTCTTTAGAAACTTACCCCCTTTATTGCTTGGTTATGGTTGAACTTGTCTAGAACAGTGTATAGTTATTATTCATAGCCATGTGCAATGCTTTTTTAGTGGTTTTAATGTTTTCTTTCTTTAAAATTTTCAGTTTTTTATGTAATAACTTTTAACCCTTTACACCCTAACATCAGTATGCATATTCTCCATACTGTTCTCAATAAATTTCCTAAGGCGCTGACAAGGAGAATTTGTATAACAATCAAGGGCTTCTTAAGTTGGTGATCATTTCCATTATTCTCAAGATCTTAAATGAATAATTCGGAAGTGTTATTGTCAGGAGAAACTAGATGCTGGTCACTCTTAGGGTTTAAAGGGTTAGATAACTATTGACAGAGGTTCACCAAGCCTGTATCTGCAGTACAAATATAATATAAAACCTGAGCTTGGGATGATCCATACCTTTGTCTGTGTCTTGTATTCCACACTATTATCGAAAACAGAGAAAAATGGTTGTGTTTAGTTTTAAAGTTTTATCTGATTTCTTCCCCCCCCCCTTCCTTTGAAAATAAAACCTCTAAATGTAGGTTGTAGTTTAAATTGTGCAGGTTACCGTGTTCTTTGGCGAAACACTTTAACCATTTAACTCTCATGAGTGACCAAGGCAGAATTTCTCCTTACATTATCAATACAAAATCAAGAAGACAAGTGATGAGAACCAAGAAAAGTATCAATTAGGAGATTATTAATAGATCCAATACCAAATTCTCAGAATTAACATCTGAAGAATTGTATAGCAGACAGTAAGGAGAAATTCTAATTAGATCTTGGGAGTTAAAGGGTTAAGATAAAACTTTCACAATACCTCTCTCCACCAAGGAGTTTAAATGAGTACCAGTGAAGTGTCAGGGAAGCCTGATGAAATGCTGGGGGGGGGGGGTAGGGGAGGGTAAACTTCTGATGGACTGGCATCCCATCCAGGGGGGAGGGGGGAGTATTATTAACACTCCCAGTTGCTCATGCTACAGCTGGATGGACTACTTGGCTTGAGTATGGGGTAAATAAAACTCGGGTCAAAATTCATGGAATTAAACTAGTTTGGTATCATTTCTTTGTTGTCCAATGCACATCATGATGACCCCCAAATGAAGTTAAATTAAAAATAAAACTACTTTGAAATCATACTTTATCACAAATATATCATATTAGATATTTTCAATAATTTTATTCCTGAGTATTTTAACATGTTTTGCTGTAAGTTGAGGCTCTATATTTTAACTCACACTACAAATAAGTGTTCAGTTATTTACAATTTTGCCAAAAATACTCAGTTACAGTACATAATTATGAAACCATGTATGGTAAGATTATCTTGTTGTTATCTTGCAGATTGATATTCACAGAGAAAACCAAATGTTAAAGGCCAACCTGAGAAAGGTTTAACTGTTAAGTTTAATTTCAATTTTAGTATTCTGAGGAAACCTAGTACTTCAAGGGTCTTTACTCAAGGTGGAAAAACCAGCCATCTCCAATCTTATAAAAGATAATGATGATGATAATGATGATGATCATAATTATAATATAGTGACTATTATTCATCATAGTTGTTACCATTATAATAAAATACTCGATGATCAATCCTTTCCACCCCAACATCAGTAAAGATATTCTCTATACTGTTCCCCATACATTCACTAAGGTGCTGACTAGGAGAATTTATGTGAAAGTCAACAGCTTCTTCAGCTGCTGATAATTTTCTTTATTCTCATGACCTTGCTGCATGATTCAGGGGTGATATTGTAAGGAGAAATTAGATGCTTGTCACTCTTAGGAATAAAAGGGTTAAAAGATATTTTCTTTTGTTTCAAGTTTTGCATGCTTCAGAATAGTTCCCTATGTTTTTTAGTTCACCCTTTGACATAAATGATCTGATTTTTTTAACATTTTCTGCCTGATAAGTTTGGGTATTCTCATTACCTGTTTGCAGGATATTATGTATGGATATTATAGGGAGAAGTTCATTCAATCACTTCTGGGAGTTACAGGGTTAACACTGAAATGGCTACTGTTTGGTGCACTTAATTGATCAGTTGATTATCATGAATTTTAAATTGATAATTTGATGTACTACTTTCTCATTTAAATGTTATCTTACAGGCAAAATCCAAAGTTAACAAATTACGTAAGGATCTCTTAAGTGTGCAGCAAAAAAGATCAAGGTATGCACTTTTAATTTAAATCTACTAACACATCAATTCTTCACTGCATGAGAACTTAACCCTTTACACCCCAATACCAAAATGCATATTCTCCATACTGTTTTATATAAATTTTCTATGAGACTGGTAAGGAGAATACCTCTAACAATCACATGTTTCTTTGGTAAATGATCATTTCCTGTATTTCCTTGACCCTCAGTTGATGTTTGATTCAGCATTGACACTGTAAGGAAAAATAAGATGATAAAGAAATAATTTTTGTGAAAAGTTCAGAGGCCAGGATCATGAACATGAGGAATATCCCCAAGGTGTCTCAAACCCAAGATCTCTTTGTCTCATCTGCAGGATCTTGTTGAAAATTGAACAAGAGGAAAGGAAGGTGCAACAAAATCAGGAGAGACAGAAGGTAATTAAATGTAAAGGAGAACTAAAATATTATCAAAAAGAGAGATTTTTGAAACATCTACAATGTAATTTGTGTGTCTCAAAAGTTAGAAACAATCAGTCTAGCATGTGGAATTAAATGTTCATTAACCATTTGCACCGTAACATGAGCATGAATATTCTCCATACTGCTCTCTGTCCATTTCCTGTGGTACTAACAAAGAGAGTTTGTTTACTGATCAAGAGCCTCTTAAGTTGGTGATCGTTCCCTTTATTCTTGTCAACTTAATGTTTGATTTAAGGGTCATATTGTAGGGAGAAACTGAATACCGATCACTTAAGTTGGTGATCGTTCCCTTTATTCTTGTGAACTTAATGTTTGATTTAAGGGTCATATTGTAGGGAGAAACTGAATACTGATCACTTAAGTTGGTGATCGTTCCCTTTATTCTTGTCAACTTAATGTTTGATTTAAGGGTCATATTGTTGGGAGAAACTGAATACTGATCACTTAAGTTGGCGATCGTTCCCTTTATTCTTGTGAACTTAATGTTTGATTTAAGGGTCATATTGTCAGGAGAAACTGAATACTGATCACTCTGAGGGGTTAAAGGGTTGATGATGGATAATACGTATATGTTAAGAAAGTGGTTTTATGAAAACCAGGGTTGCTTTTGTTTGCATGCTAGAAATTCCTAACAGTAACTTTTGGAACCACCCAAGGTGTTTACATTTGTTGCTGAAGTTTAAAAATCCATTTACTACATGTTAACTTTTTAACTTTTATACCTTTTTAGATAACACCATAAAAGTGATATCCTTTAATTTCTTCAGGCCCTGGAAGATTTCAGCTCCTTTCTTGTCGACCTTGAGGCATTACAAAATGAGTGCAGAAAAGAGATGTCCTCAAAGAAGGCATCCACACAAGTGAGTGAACTCTCATCATTTCCCTTAAATGAAAATGAACTGGATAAAACCTTGTACTGAAAAATGATTCCATAGTTTTACCAACAATTTTAAATAAATGAGTTAACTGTGATCAATCCACCAACCTTTAGTGTAATTTTACCGGGGACAAGTCCATTTTTCAGAATTCTTATCATTAGAGGCCAAGACATTGAGTTTCAATGTAAATTTAGAGTTTTCATTTAAAATCCTTTAGTTAAATGAAATTTGTTTTTAATTTCTGTTTCAGGACTATGGGTCATGTGACAACCTTCCAAGTCTGCTTATTGAAGGGCACAGTTCATTAACAGCTGCTACTCAGCTTAGATCTATCAATGAGCTTTTGAAGCAAAGACAATGATAAGTGTCTATTAATTTGATTATAAGACAAATATTTGTGCAAATAAACATGAAGAAAAAAATTTTAAGACAAGGTTTTAAAATATGTCTGATTACTGAGTCAAACCTAAATTTGTTCAGTAACCATAATTATGCCATGCTACTTATTCTTTGAACCAAAAAAATGTAAATAGAGTTAAAAAAAAAAAAAAAAAAGAAGAAGCTGACCAAAAGTGGTCTGTCTTCCCCAGTAAAGTCTGTCACTTATTAAGTCAAAAGAAATAAGCAAAAAATGATGAGTTAGCACCATTTGAACTCTGGGAGCCCCTCACAGATTCCATGCAGCTCCAATGTATCTTTTACTAATTTCTACTGACTTGCATGATGGACTTTGCTGGAGGTATTTGTTGAAAGAAAAAAACTTGAACATTTCTCCATCACCCATCAAATATTTTATAATATTGAATTCTTGTACAGCACGATTGCTATATTGTATGTGACCATCAAATTGCATTAAAATAAGATTGGTGTTTAGAGACAAACATAAATCATGCTGTTATAAATATTCTAATGAATGCCAGTAGTTCTTTACTTGGAAGAATGATTATCAAGTGACTTCTTTCTGTCCTCTGCAATAGATAAATTTTCTTTGGATCAGATCAAATAAATACTAAAAATTATTCTTCTGAATGGCTCACAGGCACATTACAAAAATTCACTTTAACTTTATGTTAAAGCAATGAACCACTTTAACCCCTTCACTCCCAAAGGTGATGAACATGTAACTTCTCCCTGTGATATTCATACATTATCCAGAAAACAGGTAATGAGAATACTCCAACTTATCAGGTATAGTTTAATATCTTGATCTAATACCAAATTCTTGTAACTGATTTACAAGTGAATGTATAGCAGCTGAAGGGGAGGGTTAACAGCTAGATCTGGGAAGTTTAAGGGTGATATGCTCTATTTCTGAATGGTTCAGTGGCACACTGTGATATTTCATATCACCTGAAAAGTTAAAGCAAAAAAAACAAAAACAAAAACACGTTGGAATCAAGTATCAAAAATCATTAATATACTAAGGACTTTATTCTTGAAAATTATCTATTACACCTTGCCTTAATTACCTGTCTCCATCTTATTCCTTTGTTCTCCCTGATCCTGTTGATTCCTGGCAGAATATGCATATTAATTATGTCTGAGTTTTAAACAACAATAAAAATTTTTTGTCTAGCAAGTGGGTCCACGTACAACAACAAAAACAACAAATCTTTTTCTGGAGTAGACTTAATTTTTCCAAGTCTGCACATAAGAAAGATTTACAGTCTGCTTGCTTGTGGTAGTAACTTTTCTTTTTCGCTTTTGTCTCTCAACTCTTTTTAATCGAAGTTTCTCTCATTAACCTTTCAATCTTGGTTAAAAAAAACTCACCTGATTCTTTGTTCGAAACAGACGCCACGCGCACCTGAGAAGGACGCAGTCCCAAATATGGTAGGAAACTTTAGTGGCTTCTTGTCTGTGATTGGTTACTTAGCGGCTTGACAGACAACGCCAAGCTAGCACACACTTCACTCATCCCCCTTGCAACTTGTGTGTGTTTCTTGGATCCAACATGTCGGGCCGCGGTGGGAAACAAGCGAAGAGGGCGAAAGCAAAATCTAGGTCAGCCAAGGCAGGCCTACAGTTTCCTGTGAGCCGAGTTCACCGTTACTTGCGCCAGACGACTCATCATTTCCGCATCGCGTCGGGTGCGCCAGTTTACCAAGCAGCTGTAATGGAATACTTGACTGCTGAGATCTTAGAACTCGCAGGAAACGCGGCGCGTGATAATAAGAAAACTAGAATAATTCCGCGGCATATTTTGCTGGCCGTGGCCAACGATGAAGAACTGCATCAGGTTAGTGTTCTATTTAAATTTTTTTGGTTTGATATGTAGCACTACATCGTATGTTCTATTGTTAGTGGAGGTATAACTTTTTGATGCTATCGGTGCACGGTTCGTACCCATACCTGCGTTTCTTTGTGACATTCGAACAGATGATCTCTCGAAGGAGAGCGGTTTTAAAATTCGTTGTTCCTCATGGAAGCTTGGTATCTTACTGTGTCTAGCATTTAAAGGAAATCTTATAAACACGGTCGCAAATGTGCAAAAGTAACGATTTATACTTTAGTGTGAAGGGACCAAGTTTTACTAAAGCTTGATCAGCACATGAAATCATAAACACAGCCTGCCAACCGAACAGCTGTGAAACCGCGTTGTTGAGCAGACGCGTTCACTTTCTATGCCCGTGTTAATTTGATCGCTTGAAAGAAAAGTCATACCTTTTTATGCGCGGTAGTTATTTCGCCTCGTTTCACTTTCGTTTGATCCTAAACAAATCTTACTTCTATACAGTACCGCTTCACGCGTGTTTATTGACTGGTGCCTTATTCATAGACACACCACTTTCCATATTATAGCAAGAAAGGAGAGTTTGTGAGTGTTATTTCCCATCCTTCGAGGACTTCTTTGTGATTTTGATACCAAGTATTCACAGGTATTCAATGATTACTCATGAGAAATTTGTTCTTCCACGAATTTGTGTGACCTCGTACAAGTTAGAAATTCATGTCGGTATTGGTCTGCGGGCTAAGGATCGCTTCCGGTGGACTGATCGTGGTACATATACGAAGGAACTAACAAACTTGAATGGGAGCAAATTACTTTTTTTCCTCTTGCTATTTTGGAAAACTGAAAGGTCACCAAAAACATCTTGTGAATGCTGAAGCCACCTCTAGGAGAATTTCTGAGAGCTTATACATTCAGGATTGTCATTCATTTCTTGGCTTTCGAACATGTAACTGCTCAGTTTATAGCGGAGCTCACAGAGTGTAGCCCCATCATTTTACAAAATAGTAGTAACCCATCAAGCCGAAAAAATTTGGATGTACGACCATACAACCATACGACCATACAAGGTGCTACTTTTAACATGCGTGGTCAACTGTACTGCGGGCACACCAATGCCACAGCCTTGTCCAGTAGTCCAGTGGTCAGTGCACTGGGCTCCGAGTCAGATGACCCGGGTTCTAGTCCTGGCAGGGTTAAGGCATTGTGCCCTTGAGATGTGCAAAAAAATAAAAATGCGAGCTCTGCTTTTAGGCTTGGCTAAATCTTTATATTATTGAGTATTGAAACAAGCTTATCTAACCTAAACTCATCATTACAAATGGTGATTGAAATGTCTGTACCCAAATCACAAACACTGTAATAAAGACCTGCTTCCTGACTCCCCTCAGCAACTACTAGTGCAATGGTGTATTTGATGTATTGGGTCAATGTCAACATTTGAACAACTGTGCACATACCCCTAACTTGTTAATATATAGATTTAGCCAAGCCTAAAAGGGGAGCTCGCATTTTTTTTTCCCTGCATGTCTCAAGGGCACAACACCTTGCCCCGGCCAGGACTAGAACCCGGGTCATCTGACTCAGAGCCCAGTGCACTGACCACTGGACTACTGGACAAAGCTGTGGTGTTGGCGTGCCCACAGTACAGTTGTTCACGCATGTTAAAAGTAGCACCTTGTATGGTCATACATCCAAATTTTTTCAGCTTGATGGGTTACTACTATTTTCTATAATTATGGGGCTATGCTCTGTGAGCTCTGCTATCAGTTGACTGTTATTGGGTCAGGGGAGGAGTAGGTGTGCAGTTCTTTAGATAATGATTTTGATCTGATATATCCTTAAAGGGACCTTGAATTCTAGAGTTAACCCCCAAGAGTGACAAGCATCTAATTTCTCCTTACAATATCTCCCCTGAATTAAACATTTATACCATGAGAGTAAAGGAAATGGTCACCAACTAAAGAAACTCTGGATTGTTAGACTAACTCTCCTTGTCAGCACCATAGTAAATCTACAGAGAACAGTATGGAGAATATGAATTCTGATGCAAGGTTGTAAAGGGTTGATATGGCTTGTTGATTAACCAAACTGAAAAGCTTTGTTATATTTGTTGTTTACCAAAGTGAGGTGTATCTTAATTTTACCAGTTGTTGAAAGGCGTGACAATTGCATCTGGAGGAGTCCTCCCTAATATTCACCCGGAACTTTTGAAGAAAAGAAAAGGTGGGAAACTAGTACCACCAGATGAAATAAAACCAAAGCATCCAAAGACAATATCAGCACCCAAACCATCCACATCAGGGAAGAAAATGGCAAGTCCAGCAAAGAAAGCACCCTCGCCTGCCAAGAAAGCACCTATTTCTCCTGCTAAAGGGAAAAAGAAAGGGGTAAGTCAAGGTATCTTTCATCTTTACGGCAGGATTTTCCGTAAGAGGCTGATAAGGTGGGAGTAGTCCAGTAGTAGGCATGAAGATGAGCACTCTTAGCTTGTTGATGTAGGGATTTCAATATCTTTTTCCATTGTGGCTGCCAATCATTGGTGTAACAGGCAGCTGTACCTATAGAAGGAGTTATCGAGGAAACCCAAAATTAGAGCATTCTCAAAGGCTAAACAGTGAGCAGTTAGATTTCCACAGGCAGCGATAGATGTGCAGCCAGTGAGTGGCTTTTAGTGAAGCTCCTGTGATAGCATGAGTCCCTAATTTAGCCTCTCAAAATTTAAGCCTCTTGAAATACATTCTCTGCACTTTGGAGTAAGAATTGTATTTATGCAATGGAGGGCTTCTCACCATATGGAGTAGTATGTCTGAATGATCAAAGAATAGAGAAACAGGAACTACTGCTAAAATTACTCAGAATTTAGGCAACAATATTTAGTTTTGGTGTTTTTGTTTAACAATCAAGAGCTTTTTGAGTTCACAACCATTTCTTTTATTGTCATTACCTTGGATTTAGGAGTGATACTGTTGGGAGAAACTAGATGATGATCATTGAAGTAGTGTTCCAGTTTGTGTTCTTTCATCCTGGACATCTTTACGTCTCTTAGTCTTCTTCCTTTTTAATTTGCCTAACATATTTTTAATATCACTGTGATATTATTTTCAGCCTGCTCCAAGAAAAGGAGCTGACAAATCTTCTTTAGGTGCAGGAGTTACTGTTCTTTCAGAGAAAACTCTTTTCTTGGGCCAAAAGGTAAGTGTTACAGAAGATGATTTGACTGGTACAGCCATGAGGAAGGCTTCATGGTTCTTTCTACAATGTGTATTGCCTCTCATTCCTTCCTTTGACACAGTTATTAGTTTTCTAGGCTCCAAGATCATCTACTGCTCAGTTTTAAGCATGTTAAGGATTGTTATTAATTAAATTGTTTTCTCTTGTTTTAGTTAACAGTGATTCAGTGTGATATTGCAATAGTGGAGGCAGATGCTTTAGTACACCCAACTAATGCATCATTTTATCTCGGTGGTGAAGTAGGTTCGTGCTTAAATCTTGTTCCTACATTACAGGCAGACCACTCTTTGCCTTTTTAGACCTGGGATATCACTTCATTGGTACTCAATGCTAATTGATCTCTTGCTTGAGTGACCAAGACTGATTTTCTCTTTATAATGTTAGTACAATATCAAATGGACAAGTGATGAGAATAAAGAAGAATATCAATGAGGGCATGATAAGTTGATCCACTACCAAATTCTCTGAACAAACACGGGGAGAATGGTGTGGCAGACAGTAAGGAGAAGAGTGAAAAAGGGTTAAACTCCTTTACACCCTACTGTTTGCTTGTATATTCTCCATACTGTTCTCTATACATTTCCTAAGGTGCTAATGAAGAGAATTTGTTTAACAATCAAGAGCTACTTCAGTTGGTGATCATCTCCTTTACTCTCATACCCTTAATGAATGATTCAGGGGTGATATTGAGAAATTAGTTGCTAGTCACTGTTAGACATCAAGGGGTTATGCAAGTGAAGCTTGACTGTCGCAAATGACAGGAAATAAAGAAGATCTATTATTGTATTAATTAACTGGTATCATGGGTCTCAATTTGCTAGCTTCCATTCAGTTGAAAAAGCTGATAGAATTTCACCAAAATTATCAATGATTAATTCGTTTTCACTCAACCATATTAGAAGTTTTTTTACTTTTGTTGTTGTTAGGAATGGGATGATTTCAAATGTGCCCAACAATTATTTTTGATGCTGCATTGATTTTCAGGTTCAGCTCTTGAGAAAGCTGGTGGAAGTGAGTTTAAGGAGGAGGTCAAAAAACTCTCTGAATCTCATGGACCATTAGAACTAGCAACAGGTATGTTTTAACACCTCTCAATCAGTCCAGCTCAAACACAGAAAATATTCTTTTAGCTCCCATTTGAACAAAGTCAGATACACTTGCTAACACAGCTCTTTCCTGACAGGGATTGTGGTTCAAACTTTGGTTCTTGCAAATTGAAAAATTTGCCTTCTAGTAACTTTTACTTTAAGCTTGGGCAAAATTGCATCTGTGGTTCAGATTTGGTCAGCTAATGCAACTGTTTGTTGTGCATATTGTCCATACTGTTCTCCATACATTTCCTAAGGTGCTGACAAGGAGAATTTGTTTGAAAAATACAGAGCTTCGTTAGTTTGCGATCATCTTCCATCTTCTCATAACTGTAATGTTTGAGTTGGGTTGATGCAGTAAGGAGAAATTAGATGCTAGTCACTCTTAGGGGTTAAAGAGCCAATGTCACTTGTAAGTGATCAACACTCCCATTTCTGACAGACAGTTTTTTTTATATTTCTTCATTAGCGGCTATCTGCGATGGACATAACTTTCCAGCGCAGTATGTGATCCATGTTCATAGCCCACCTTGGGAAAATGATTCTTCTGTTGAAAATCTCGAGAAAGCTGTCAAAAGTGTGTTGACATTGGCTGATGAGAAGAACATCAAATCTATTGCTATCCCCTCTATTGGCAGTGGATCGTAAGTATTTTTTTAAGTATTGATATTGCATGTTTGACTTAAAAGCTTGTGAAAGTCATCACAAATTTATTCCTGAATGCTCCTGATTTTAGGACTGCGTGAAATTTTCTTTAAAATATTTTCCATTGCAACAGTTAAAAAGTGTTTTTATCACTGAAGGTCCTTCTTAATTCCAACTATGAATGGACTTTCAGAGTTGATTCAAATTATGCAGCTATTGGAGAAACACAATGTAACAAAGGCAGGGTTCTCAATAAGTCAGGAAGTAGATTGCTAGCTTCTTGGACTAGACGGCTGACAATCTGAGATTCTTTCATGGGTCTCATGGTATGCTTCCATACAAAATATCATATTTGAAATGCGGAGACTCTGAAATGTTTTTCTATGCACTCTTTCTGGAGGTAAACCCAAAGCAAAATGGTAGTTTCTTGGCTTGGTAGACACCTGCCAGTAAGAGATTGGAGATACTTGTTAAATTACTGTATATGTTTTTGTGGAATGCAAAGACAAATTTTTTTAGAAATAGGTCTCCCCACAGCAGTGGTGCTAAGAGCAGAAATTAGATGTTAGTCAATAAGAGGTTAGTTTGCAAATGCAAAAACAAGTTTCAATAAATTTGGCTCCCCACAGCAGGGGTACTGTGAGGAGAAATTAGATGTTAGTCACCCTGAGGGTTAAATGATTTAACAGCCCATCTTAACTGTCTTTCTATTTTGTTTCTCCCGAAAGCAGCAACAACTTCCCCAAAGGCACAGCTGCACAGGCCATCCTGAAAGCCATCTCCAACTATTTTGTGTCCGTCATGGCGTCATCCCTGAAACAGATCTATTTTGTTTTAGATGACATGGAATCCATTGGAATTTACACCATGGAACTTGCGCGTCTTGACTCCTAGGAATTGCTTACACATTTTGTCACATCTTTTTAGAATATTCCATTGTAAGAAATGATCAGGTGCAATTTGTGTCATCATCATCTTGTCTGCCTGTCATGTACTGAATTTAGCTGTATTTTTTTTTATATCTATACTTTCCTCTCCTTAAAATCTGAGTGTTGATTCTTCTTATTAGCTTCCATACATTTCATTGTGTCAGTTTTGAAAAGTGAAGGTTACATCAAGATGAAACCATGACATTCATCTTTGCCAGTATTGTCATTACGTGTCCTTCTTAATAGTGTTGTAATGGAAATTTGCACTCTGAACACTTCCGTTTTACTGATTGTTAGTAAAGCAGCATCCGAAAGTATCTGTTCCATAGACCTTAGTAAAAGGATGGATGCCAAGGAAAATTGCCTCCATGTGCTGAGGGTGAGTTATTCCCCAAACCAGAGCAATATTTATTGTATGGAAACTGTAAAGGAGAATTAACGTTTGATGAAGTAATCGCCGTGGGGTTTCATATGCAATTTTAAACAAGCACATTTAACTTGCTCAAGGAGTCAAAATGGTTTACTGGTGACATAAATAGCATAGGTTAAGGCTCCAATGAATCACATGTGGCCTTCCTCTGCCTTTGCAGATCATTTAGTACTATGTTTCAGTTGGGGGGGGGGGGGGATTTGACAAGGTCCCTATGATTTCAGGACGCACTTTATCCTCAATAAGTAAACATATTTGTCTAGGATTACTTATATACTCATCTTCTTGATCTCTTTAAGGACGGGGTGGGTAGTGGATCTCCACCCACTCCTCCCCCTGTTGTTAGTTTGTTACTGAGTTACAAAGTCTGACATGGAGAAAATTATGCATGAGTTCAAGTTCTTTGTTAAGGTAGTTCCCTTTTGCGGGGATGTTCCGATATTTCTTGCTCTTAATCATTCCTCCCCAATATGTTGTGCTGTGATGAACATGTCAACTCTGAAGCAACCATGATCTGATTAGTAGTACTGCTTTCCAGTTTCCTTACATTTCCCCATAAGTTGGTGAGGAGTAAACGGTGTTATATATCACCCTAGCATTTCCTGCTGATAAAGTTCTCGTTTCTTATCACCTGTATGGTGCATAATTTGTCAAAATTGTAAAGAGAAGTTACGAGTTAATCTTATGTGGGAGTTAAAGAGTTAACAAAAGAGGGACAAAGAAATTGGAGGGGAGACGAATGAGTAAGATCAAGTTAACCCTTTACCCCTTAACATCAGTATGCATATTCTCCATACTGTTCTTTATACATTTCCAAAGAGGCTGACAAGGAGAATTTGTGTAACAGTCAAGAGCTGTTTTAGTTGGTGATTATCTCCTCTGTTCTCATAACTTTATATTTGATTCAGAAGTAATATACTGGTAGTAAGGAGAAATAAGATGCTCGTCACTCTTAGGGGCGAAAGCGTTAAGTAAAGACAAGAACATTTTGAAGCAACCCTCCCCTTAGATTCTGTTAGAAGTCAAGAGACCCTGTGACTTTGGCGGGGAGGGTTTGGCCGCTTCGAAGTCTGTTGTTCCTTTCTGTGAAATATGTGTTGGAAAAAAAGTTAATTGAAACGTTAGTGAAAAACTAGACACCTTTTGAAGTAGATGAGATGGTTGTTACCAGTAAACCCTTCTGCTGAAGGCAGGAATGATGGGGTATTTGTAACTTTATTTTTATGAAATGTTTTTTCATGTGTTATAGCAGTGTATTCACTGGAAATTCTATTCAAAGTTCCTTGGAACTGACTTTTTGTTTCAAGTTGTTTGAAACTCACGTTTGCATGTGAAGCAACATTTGGAGATATTTTAAATCGTGTATTTTATTTTCACTTCTTTGTCAAAAGAAACGTAACATAGCGGTTCTTTGTTCTAAACAAGCGATTTGTGAGTGGTTTACAATCAAGAAGTAAAATCTCTCTGTTGGCGTGAAAGATCTTCTAATGTCTGGGATTTAATCAGTATATATTATCATTAATTCCCCCCACCAACCGGTATACATTTCATTCTGAATTTAGCTTGCAGAACAGGCGTAACTTTTTGCGTGTTAAGGCCTGGCCAAATGCATGCTACATACAAACGCAACAATTCAACGAAACATCTTGCAAAATTTTTGCGCGTAACGTGTTGCACACGTTTGGCCACCTTGTGGTAACATGTGAGATGTTGGATGGTGATGGATCAAGCTTAAAAATGATCACATTTTTGTTGCAACATTTTAGGATGTTGCAAGATGTTGCGCACATTTTCCCAGCTCCTTTGCACAATCCTACGATGTTACAAAATGTTGCATGCGTTCGACCGAGCCTTGACAGGCGAATAGAGACAAGCGCGAGGGGGGTCATTTCTCTTTCCGCGCTATTCTCCTCGCGCGTGACTCGCACTTCGTGCCGCCTTGCGCTTGCCTCAGTTCGGCTGAAAAACGCAAAAATATTACACCTATTCTGCCATTGTAGATAAGTGTTCATCACGAGGGAAAGCAACGGCCTCACTAAAGACCAGTTGTCAGGGGTCTAGCGCCTGTCACAATATCTCTTACCGCTGTCTGTTTAGCCTGCGAGCAGGCTCTCGTGATTGAGTATTCCTCGTCAAGTGTTTAGTGCATCTGCTTTTTTCTTTACTAGATTATTTGGTTCTATCAACTAAGTTCATAATGTAAGGAAGACATCTGATTGACTATCCACGTGCTCGCGGGTGAATCTTGTGTTCTGATTGACTATCCGAACGAGAGAGATGAGCCCACCTTGCCTGCTCGCGATTGCCTGCTTTGATTACGGATGGTAACATTAAAGGAAAAAAAAAACTCGGAGAGGACATACAAAGTTCATACTTTTTGGACAATGTCAGCAATAGAGTCACAAAAAGCGGCAGGAGACAATCAAAACATAAAAACACAATTAAAGCCGGGTTGCTACAAAAACAGTTGGCTTTCTTTCTCGTCTCTCGAAATAAGCAGGTGTGGTTTCGTAATAATGCGATTTTCATATTGTTAGATATTAAATCCTTTCGTAACCGAGCTTTTTCAGTCAAGATGGCTGGATATTAGCCTCGTCCTTTTTTTTTCTGTCGATATGGACCTCAACTTCGTCCGAAAAAAAAAATAAAAAAACGCAAAAAAAGAACTCGGCCAAAATCCAGCCGTCTTGACCTCACGCTTGGTCAATAACGCATTATGTAAGGAGTTTCTGAAGCTGATATTTCCGGCGTTAGCCCTTCATCATGAGCTTATTAGCTCTGACGAAGGGCAAACAATCAAAACGTCAGCTTTAAAAACGCTTTCCGGTGGCTTAATTACATTTTTAACTTATTTGATCAAAGCAAATTATCTTGTAACCACAGTTTCTGTAGAACGTAATTGCTCCCTTTATTGGTTTTTCATTTTTTCTAACATTTAATCGAGATATTTTTCTTTTAAGCAAACGAAAATTCTGGCTCACAGTGTCCCTCGAGTTTACCGTGGTACAACAACTCATTTTCACTTTCGAAACATTTGAATTTCAACAGTTTATAACACACGATGCAAAAATACGGCTTACGGCAGCCATGTTCGGTCACGTGATGATGTGCCTGCTCTTGAAGAGTGCGGAACGTGCGCGTGCAGCCGGTCACCGCCAAACATGGCAGAACATCGTAACCATAGAAAAAGTGCGCGCTGAAATCATTCGTGTCGTATTTACTCCAACACGGATGTGTCTTGCCCACGTACGTTGTTTTGTGAATTATTTTCATGTCTTCTTTCCTTCTTGTGTGAGGGCAGTACGTTAGAACGCAATTTGCGGTGCACAGATCACATCTGTCCGCGTCCTGAACGCGTTCTTGAAATAAGGATTCCTGGTTAGAAAATCCTATTTTTCGTTTGTGCTTCTGCGTAAGACAACCATCGAAAAACCCGCAGGAAACCTCGTCGTGTTTTCTTAGTTCTTTTCTGTTGTAGAAGACCATGCGACATTTATCGCAAATGTATTGGAATTCGTCCATGAGAGAACATTCCTTAGTATCAGCGACCTTGTAGGAAGCATTTTCTTCGTTTAAGATTTCTAGCAAGGAGGAAAAAACACTTTGGACTTCAGATGAAACGAGGATTATGTCTCTTTTTTCTTGCACTCGAACGCGCGGGTCCTTAGCGATCAGCTTCGTCGAAAGAAATCTCCAATCTACAGCGCTAAATGGCATTATAGTTGTGTTCCTGGGCACATGCAGAAATCTGAACTGCGGTAGCAACTTCGCCGGTATTTCTTTACTCCGATAGAACACGTAGAAACGAAGAAAGCCCCTTGATTGAGGAGATATTGTAATGTCCTGGAGATAATCCTGACCTTTGGTTTCCCAATCGAGAAGAAAGAACTTAACGCGCATTTTTTTTTTATCAGCAACTTTCCGACTGTTTATACAGTTTGCCAGAAGAACTAAGTCTTTGTTATTGAGCCATCGTTTTGTACTGATGCCTCGTGTCAATGACAAAAGCCGATTTGTTTTACAAGCAATTATAACACATTTCGTTTTGTTTTCTTTTCGCAAGGTTACAATAGAGAAATGTAATAAACCTCATACCTTCCTCGCCAAGGAGACACACAAAACAAAGCAAAAATTTTCAAATAGGTTCACATTTGGAGGCACTGGGTTTTAATTGGTTTGTTTTTTGCCGAATGAAACATCATGTTCGTTCAAATCGCTCAGGTTTTTCGTAAGTTTGGGATTAATTGAACTTGTTTAAACATGGATCATCATTACGACATTATCGTTTCCAGGGCTTTCTCCGCCAGTGAGAATAAAAGAAAATGGCGATCGTAATAAATCGCGTGCGCATATGCTGATTAGTGAACTGCGCTCACCAAAAACAACGATTTGACGCATAAGCAGTCTTCTTTATCGCGTCCATCGGTTTCTATGCGACAAACCTCGTAAACACTTCTGGGTTGCACAATGTCAGAAGTAGGAAATAAGAAAAATCTTGAGGTGGAAATTTCAGGTCGATCGTTTCAATAAAGAGAGATGTTTAAAATTTTGGCTCTAGAATGGATAGACAGAGCTAATTGGCTATTTAGCCTGAAGCAAATTCGAGATAGCTGACAATAAGATTAGACAAACCCGACAGAAGCAACTAATTCGATAACAAATTTAACTCTGTAATAACCATGATAATTTCTCTCAAGTCCCATAACTCATCAAAGATTCCCCACAAAACAAATGTTGGGCAAAACGTTTTTCTTCTTTTCTTTGGTTTATTTTCTTTTCCTCTTTAGTCGTGCTTCCTAACTCCTAAAATGTTAGGCTATACAATAAAGAAACAGTGAATAAAGGGGGTAAGTTTCTAAAGAAACTGGGATCAATATCTGTATCTAGGCAACTGCCCACCTACCCCTCCCCTAACCCAACATAACCCTAACTTGTTATCAATTGACTGTTGTTGAGTTAGGGGAGGGGTAGGTGGGCAGTTGCCCAGATACTGATATTGATCCAAAAACTGTAGCGCTGCGTCAGTAGGGGGTATACAAGAAGATATGGTTTTAAAAACTGAGTTGATAATGTAAATTGGCCATCGTAAACAGTTTCAAAGCTGAAGTTTCGGATGTTAGCCCTTCGTCAGAGCTATTGGCCTCATGACAAAGGGCCAACGCTCGAAACTCTAGAAACTCTTTATGGTGGCCAATTTACTATACAATAGATAAAACCTCTTGGCCTGAAAATTAGCTTCTTTGAACTAATTCAGTGTTAACAACTGAGTTGAAGACATAAATTGGCCACCGGAAAGGGTGAAAAAGCTGACGTTTCGAACGTTAGCCCTTCGTCAGAGCGATAGACGAAGGGCTATCGCTCGAAATGTCAGTTTTTTTACCCTCTACGGAGGCCAATTTACGTTTTCAACTCAGTTGTTAACACTAAATTACCTGCTATACTCTCCCATCGACGCAGCACCAGTTTCTTTAGAAACTTACCCCCTTTATTAGTTTCTTTGAAGTCTAATTATCAACTACGAACGTTACACAAAGTAAAACTACACAAAAACGAATTAATTTTTTAAGTTTTGCCAAACTTTGGGCGTCAGATAAAACAAGGAGTGGATGTGATGCATTAATTTTTGCAGCACATCGTGATCAAAATGAAATACAAATGTCACAGAAATTCTTAAAATTGCATACTTCTAAAATGTATTTTCCTCCATCAAATCTTTGCAATTGAGGAGAAATTATCTTAGCTGTTCAAAAGCAGTCGGCACGATACAAAGAAAATATAAATATTTATATAAAAAGTAACATGAAATAAAAGAATATTTGAAAACCTCAAAACCATTTAAGCTATACAAATATGGACATCAAAAGTAACTCAATTTATTTTCTTCTGAATATCCCGATCTCATGCAATTATACAACTTGAAACTTTTAAACTGAATTTTGAAAAATCCCCTAATTACTTAAAACGCCTGAAGACATGAATTATTTAGTTAAACAGGTGGATTGAGTATGAATGCTATTTACAATCACCTACACACCTCTACAAATACAACAGAACACTTTCGAAATTTAGAGGAACTGCTCTGTAGGAGACATCAGGTAATTCAAACGCGTTCCATGCCATTTCTGTGGATGAGAAAGTTAGAGTTTCTTTAAGATCTCGTGTTCTCGAAGTTGCAAGAAAACACGATAGGACTACATTGCTCTTTTGCCTTTTAGCAACAAAATTGGTCGCCTAAATAGCATGAGAACTACTCCAGCTGGCTTAGAAAACCTAACTTCCAAAGTTAAACAAGTTATCACGGAAGGCAAACACGTGGCCGTGGCACTCTGCCTATGTAAACTCATTACTCTAGTGATTGCTTAATTTGTAATCTGAAAACAAAGATTAGAGTTTCTTGACTTGGAGTGCTTTTGATCTTTGACTTCTGTAGCGCAGCATAGCACGTACACTTGTGACTGTTTAGCAAATCAAAAACTATCACAAGTATGCCGTTTGTTCTGTTGGAGTGACCTACGAACTATAACGTTTCCAAATTAATTCATATCACATCTTTATCACCAACTACTTCTGGCAAAATGCATTATAAATGTTCAACATTTTTGATCAGATTGATGATCTGATGATCAGATTTTGAAAGAACTCCGAGGAAAACTTTTGGCCGGAATCAGTCATAAATAATTGACCTCTGTTTAGTTTTTATTGAAAAAATAAAATTTCCCAAAAATTTCACGTTAAACATTTGTTGAGTCGGAGTAGTACGCGCACTTTTGAGAGTCAATTTAATAAATCGAATAGGTCACTCTAGGTTCATAAGAAATGAAACTCTTAAACTTGACCTTGATCTCACATAAAAATTCGAATTCTCTTAGAATTGAAGAAGAACTCTGGGTAAAGTGTTTCGTTTCTATTATTTCTCTCAGTTGGAAAAATACGTTTCTCCTTGCTTACTTTATGTTGAACGTAGCCCTGTCTAAAGTCATAGTTGAAGCAAAATTCTTCGGCGATTTTTACAGAGTCAAACATTAGAAATAGTCTCTTACAAAGAACGTTCCGAAGGAAATTCCGTTCTCTTTTTTATTGTCCATTGCCTTGAATTTCCAGACATCAGTTTTCTCCCAATGCAATATGGAGAGGAATTTGCGCAAAAGAAAATTCTTCATCACTATGTTTTTCTTCCTCCACGTGATTCAATAATTCTTCAGCGGTTTTGAGACAGACCAAGTACTTCTTTTTATAGCAGGCCATACAATAGTACGGATAGGTTGCCCCGTGGACTGACTTGTGGTGGAAAGCTTGAAACTCAATGTTCGGAAAGCGCTCGGAACAACTCGGCTCTTCTAGACACGGCAGAGGCAAATTACTGTAAAAATGCTCAAGATATTCATCTCTCGTTTCGTAGTACTCCTCGCAGCTGCAGTCGCATTTTCTATGAGTTTTTCCCATGTGTTCTTCAAGTTTTTTAGTCGAGCAGAATATCTTATCTGGGCAGAATTCGCAGCTCCGCTGGCGCGCAAGATGATCTTCCAATTCCTTCCTTGCAAAGAAGCCGTTCGTTCGCTTGCTTTTTTCGCATCTCAAATTCGTGCACAGAAAATTGTGCTTGCTCTGGTCATGGGCATCAGCTTCTTTCTTAGTTTTGAAAATAATTTTGCAGTGGTTGCAAGAATATTGAAACAAGTCGAGAAGGGTACGCTCGCCAACGTCGATTATTTTTACAGGAATTTTATTGAATTTCAAAATGGCTTGCAATTCTTCGTACCTGGCTTCGTCTCCGCATACAATATGAGCCCTGTACTTTGTATGAACATGACGCTTGGGCCAAAGTCTACAGTGGTTGTTTGTACAGTTGCACGCCGTGTGCGTGTAAAAATGCAGCACGTACGTTAAAAGCGCCGTCCAAGACGCCTCGGCGGAAGATGTAAGCGTAGGATGTTTCACAATCCACTCTGAATCTCCGGGAAGCTCATTTTTCGGTGTTTTCTTGTTGTAAAACAAGTGAACTTTTATATCGCGTTGCGTGGAAGTGAACTTTATTCCTTTCACGAAATCTTTGCTTGTGGTCTCCCAATCGACGAAAAAAATTGATGTCAACCGAATCGTGCACATGGCAGATCACCCCGAGGGATTTTTTGTCGCTAATTTTTTCTCGATTGTCAACAAACGAAAGGAAGGCCTCCTTGACGACGAATTCAGAATTTCTGTTATACCGATTTTCGTTCTTCTTTGAAACAATTAATAATTAAGGTTGGGTTGCTACAACAGAGGAAAACTTGAACGTGATAGGAGGTGAGTGTCAGCCTCAGAGACACAAACCCTTTGTTTCTATTAGATTGTCTCTTTTCATTTTAGACAAACAAAGCGTTCTTTGATTGGTTGCGAAATGATAAATTACGCGTGGAACACGTGTGTTCGAGCTCAAATCGGAGTTTTTCAATGGCTTCTTGCTGTAAAATCGTTTTTGTCGGTTTTCAAAGAGGTTGCCTTTGGTGAGTATTTTGTGATTGTTTTTTGTTTCAACTCAAATAAAGAATGGAACTGCCGACAGAAAATGAAACTCAATATCATACACATTACTCTTTAACATACATGCTAAATTAAGTCGTTTCGAATTGTTTCGGGCTCAGTTATTCGCGGAAAGACAAAAGCATGATACTGAAGGTTTCTGTAACAAAAACAGAGAACCTTAAAATCTTTGCACAGATTTTCCACGAAATCGGAGAGTAGAAATGAAGGAGAGGAACACAAATTTCTTCCTTAAAATTAACGTTGTGATTAACTTGAAGACACTTATTATTTGCCCACCTGTATTCCTAAACAAACAACATGAAAATAGCCGTTGTGTTATTTTCATACACAGAGCGTTACCGTGCGAAAACTGCCTCTGTTACAGTGAATTTTTATTTAGCCAAATTACCCTGCGCCAGTTGAAATTAGAAGCTGATCAATATCCCAAGCTGCTACCGAGAGAAACCCGTTTCAGTTGAGGAAATTTCCGTGTTCTTTCCTCTTTCTTTTTACTTTTTTTGTAAGCAAGATCAGATTTCTTTCCTCTACCGGGAAATTGCCGAGGCTATCAATTGACTTTCACCAAGAGAACCATTGATCACGGAACTATCGCCGGGGGTGATACTGTTGTTTCAAAAACGTTCGAGTAATGCGATTTATTGTTCTATTGTAAAAAGTGGATACATGAAAACATCCATACAAGCCTTTTGTTATCACCGATGGCTTGAAATAAAGATAAACCTTTATCAGATATATTCGCGCATCAATATTTAGTACGAGACAAATAAAACCACGGACATACGAGAAAGTCTTCAAGCGTATCCCGGCTTAGTAAATTTAAAACGCGTGCAAACTGAAATGTGACGACAATCTTAACTTTTAGCAACTATCGAAGATGCAAGTTCCATTGCTTAATCGAAAAAAAAAATCAGGCTAAGTCTCGGAATAACTCTTGAAAGTGCGAGAGAAATTTGGACACCTTAATACTACATTGTTAGGAGAACTAAGCCAAGGGTGTAACATTTTAATCAACAGTTTTCAAAGAAAATACAATGCAAATAAGGAAAGTTCAGAATTTAGTTTCAGTGAAGAGAGTGAATATTATTGATGCTTCTTGTAGGACCCGCATCAGTACAAAAGAATGAAAATTGGAAATAAACTTCGTTTTTGGTAAACTTCAAGGTATACGTAGCAAATATTTTAAACTCTCATGTCTATACTTTCTTTTATACGTTTACTTCATTCTTTTTTTTGCGTAGTAGTTGTATTCAAGTACATAGAAGCGGTATGTCAGTTGATACCTAATGGGTCCCTACGGGAGGTCAGGGAGATGGGCGTTGGTCTTTTTTTCCGTAACTCTCTTGCATCGCTTATGTATGGTTGTCATACTGCTCAAAGTTGAGGTTTTAACGAACTTTGCCCACAGACTACCCACCATTTTGCCCTCGTTCCTTGGACATTAATTATGCGGGAATTTCCTCATGATATCCAACTGCATATGACGCATTGTAGCTTGTGAAAGAATCTTTCGAATAAGCGCTGCATAGGGACCATGACGCTTAGTGATTTTTCTGTTTCATATGCTGCGTTTATTTAAGGGAGGCGCTTATCCGAGGGCGGTGCTCATTCGAATAAATACAGCATGGTATTTTTCCAAACCTAATGAGGGTTTCAGATTACGCAATGTCCGAAATTTCATAAAACCCTTAAAATACTAAAACTTCTTTTCAGAAGAAAACTACTTAATTTTGTTTTGAAAAACGCAGTTCAGTTTTCATTACTCAAAGGCGGCCGCCTTCATAGAAGTGAATCTATTCCATCTTCATTTATAGAAATTTCGCCAGTCTTCTTCTCAGGAAAAACAGTACGTTTGATCGAATCAGTTTTAAAATGGCCAAAATAAATATTTAGCGGCATGCTCTCCTTAATTTAGCTAGTTGTTAAGTAATGATATCTATCGTAATGGCTCCTGAAATTTTCTAGTGCATGGTTTTACTATATTTTGTGCATAAATCATAGTGCCTTTGATTTCATTAGACTATTTCATGATCATTCACTTAGAGCGAGATGTTTGCTTAGACACAAAATCTGAACTGAAGTGCATGTTTAAATGACTAATGCCTGATCAGGTTTATTTCACCAGATGAACTCTACATTTCACATAACGCGCTTGGCTCGCAATAAAGCTATTTCTGATTAACAGCAATGGAAAATCTTCTGCTTTTCACAGTTAAGCCGTTTTTTAAGTCTTTTGTAATGGCAGATAAAGCCCTGAATTTAAAATTGAAATCTTCTCTCCATAAACATGCATGCAGTTAAGTGTAAGTATCATGATATGAAGTGAAATTATTGGACTTTGTAGCGTGCGACAGAGTGCTTCAAAACGCACAACGTTTTTGTTTGATTCGATGAATTTTAAAATGCGGTTGTATTTAAGAGGTACTCTTTTAAAAGCTACCTGGTCCTTAACAAAAAGCTATATTGAGGTGTTAATTGGTGCTCTAAATAAGTTTCTCTTATATGCAAAATGGGAGTTTCCTTTAAAATGTTTTAAACAATGAACCAAGCAGAATTCAAAACAACCCACTTGCGTGCGGTTTGATGTCGATTTGCTTTTAAACGCGCGTACAAAATCTCATCTACGTTTGCTTCAGAAATTGTTCCGCAAATATCTGAACGGACTGAACCGTTTTTCATGTCAGCGAAAATGGTTTGGCTATTTACTTTGTTAATGCTATGATAATCAACATCGCAAAAGGCTGCATTCATCTTTCAGAGCGAAATGTCGCCCTCTATCCTCATCTCCTAAAAAATTCTGTCTAAGAGATAAAGCGATCGGTATAAGGTCTGTGAATGAGGTTTTGTTTTTTAATCATTTCAAAGTTTATAATAACTCTAACATTTTGATTTACCAATTGCACTTTCGACGATCTTAAACAGTAGGCTTTCAAGTGTAATCCTTTCACATAAAGATTTACTTCTGCCAAAATGTCAATTATTGCAAGAATCATTTCAGAGAGTTTTAATTTTTCTGTTTTTGGAACACGTCGACGTGTAATTATAAAAACTAAAACATGATTATTCTATGTCGCCACGCATATTATTCCGCCGGATTTAGATACAGCATATGAAAGGCTTTGGCTGCAGAATGGCGGGTTTTAATTCAATATACATATTGTTCAAGCGAAGAGGTTGAAGGTTTTTGCTAATCGGGAATCATTACTCCATCGCCTTTCACCGCGGCTTCGAGGTCAAGAGAGTCTTAAGAAATATCATAATACTGACAGCGCAAGTTTGATCGGTGAGAATTACAAAGGTGTCCAAGTGATAATCATTTTCCCCGTAATAAAACGAAATATGCATAACCAGTCATTTCGTTTGAAAGATTTAAAAAAAAAATTGACGTTATCAAAATCATGTATTCAATACAAAAACCCGTTACGGAACTGGACAACAGGGGCCATAATGTTATCTGAAAAGCACGTCTTATCTAACGTCGTAATTAATTTTTTCATGGCTTGAAGTATGTTCCGCCATGAAAAACTGGTTATAATGTTGCGGCTCAAATTATTTACAAGCCTCCAAATTCCGCCTGACTTTTATTCGAAGCCGAGAAATTCATTTACGACCTCCTCAACAAACAGTTAAACCAACATGAAATTTGAAACAAAATTTTCTGTCATTCGAAACGTATCTAGTTCTATTTAGAAGATACGATTTCCTTCCTTCTTAGCTATGAATCATTAAAAAGGATACTCAAAATTTAGTGTGTGGGGTCAAACAATAACAAAATACCCTTTTAAGACTTTTTCATATCTTTTATTGAGATGTTTCGAATTATCGAGGCGCGCGCCTTATCAGGGAAGATGAGCAATTGCCACGAGACTTCCACGCTGTGAAAGCTTTGCATAAAATATACGCTAACTTCTGAATTTTATTTTTTTCGGTTTTTTTTCCCTCTCCAGCCGGACAGCTTAGTGCGTGTAAATTCGACGGGCATTTATTTTGTTTTTTTTTTCCTTTTACTAACGGCGGGTATTCTTGCCAGGTTCGTTTAGCAGCGGTTATTCTAGGCCCCCGAAAAAAAAACAACCCGCGAAAATCAGCGCAGTAAAAGGCCTTTCGCTACAGTTCTTTTGTATCACTGACTGAATTAATAAACTGGCCTGTAAATAGTGTGTGATTAAATGGCTATTACGAACCATTACTGCTTTTGTGTTCGTGAAATCTTGCATCTGTTGGGTTCTCAGCTAATAATTGATTTCCCATTTGTCCACTCGGAGCTTGTTAACGATTTCATGCGAGTTGTTCGGTTTTTTTCCCTTTCTCGTCCACCGCCGGCGCCCTCGTTTTTGCCGAGCGCTCGGAAAACTTATCAATTTCAAAAGACGCAGAACGCGTAGACTTCTCCCCCGCGAGCGGGATCCTGGTTGTCCGTAAACACCATCAGCTCCGAGAGATGAGCTTATTAAAGGCCAATACGTCGCTTGTATCATTATTTATCTAAACCAACATCTCGGTAAATATCAAATTTGTCATTTTTCGAATTTTGGACGCGTGTCACGTGATTTGACTCTATCCCGCGATTGTTCGATGTTTAGACAGGGAGCAGGTGTATCGCGGGCCCATATGGCGGCAGCGATGAAATTCTCATCATTGTGAAACACTCTGCTGCGCAGAATTGACGGGTAGACACTTTAAAATCTCGCCATTTCACAGCCATCCGAGAAACGCGTAACATCGGCTGCATTCACAATATCTCACCAGGCCAAAACACGAACACTCAAGTCGCAAACCTTAGATTTGGAAACTTAGAGGTGAGTTCTTAAATCCTGTTTGTTCGTATATTTTAAAGACTGTCACAAAACGACCTAATTTGCTAATCGCCTCACACCCCAAAGGTACGCAATTGACCGAATCCTTCATGAAGTTTGATCTTTCGGAGGTAACATTTGAATGCAGTACGAACATGTGACGAGCGGGCAAATTACATGTCAGGGCGAAAAAAAAAGTATCGATAAATCTGGCTGCGTGCGTGGTTTCCTTTAAAATTTCACGCAGCGAAAATTCGTATCCTGCTGAGTTCAAAACTGTTGTTAAGTGATTTATCCAGAAAATGTGTAGAACTAACAGTAAATTATTTTATGACTCAATAACGTCGGTTTTATTTATCGTTCCCTTTCTTTCATTTTCGGCGTTTGTATTCCTGTCGGAAAATACGTTTGTTTCCCCTTAAAAGCATTTGACATTCAGGGAAAACTTTTTTCTCATTAACAAATAATTGCGTCCAGAACTCTTCAGCCTCTATCAAGAGGTTCTCGTTGTTTTGCGCGGACAGGCGCTGCATAATGTACTGGAAACATACTGGAGTTTATGAGAGCGGACATGCACCAGCTTCGAAGGTGGTCGCTCAAAATTACACTTTGCAAATCCACCTCCGGCTTTGATTGGAGTGAAGTGAAATGTTTTTTTTTTCTTTTTTATCTTTTTCTGCTCATCTAGAGTCAAGTACCGGATAAATCAAAGTAGAATGCTTTCGAAGGAGAGACTTTGAAAACGCCGACATAAAAAAAGACAGAGTTTCCCTTGATTTTCGTGTTTAAAAAAGGAGCAACTTGTAAATTTAGTAAGCTGGATTTACAGTTTATTATCCATTCTCATTTAAACCCCTAAAATTGTTTTGATGGAAATTAGTTTTTTTTAATTCTGTCTCTTATTTAAAGCCAGTCAATCCGTTTTTTACGAACCATGCACTGTTCTTGCCAACGAAAATGCATATCCAACAAACTCATTTAGTTCGCTTTCCTTTTGTTTTCAATCAGTGAAAAACCGCGAAAAGAAACACAAATTAAAGCTGCCTTCTGCATAAGAAAAAGCTCTGTTGATCTCTTTACTGTACCGGAACTACAGAAGGATTAGATTAGGAGTGGAATTAACTTTACAAGTAAACAAACGAGCTGGTTTTTAAGCCATCAAGAAATCGGTGTGGAAGATTTCTAAGTCGGCAGCTGAAAAACTTCCTGGCGAAGAAAACGAAATGCTATTCACAGCGAGATTGGAGATTCTTCGGCGGGCAAGTTTTACACTTTAATGGCTCCTTCATTTTCACATGATGGGATATTAATGATGTGTTTTTCTTTTCGTGTACTTTTTACGGGCCACTCTATGTTTGAATCATGACACATAATTATAGGCCGTTTTAGTGGTACGGTTACCCTCAATAAGTCTGTATTTTCATTTCGATAATCAAACTTGGAAATCAGTTCTGTTTTTACCTTTCATTTTCGGAGAGAATAATTTCTAAAAACCGACAAACCACGGCGGAATCATCTTTCAAAATGCTTTTTCTTTAAATCACTTGTGATTTGCTTCCGGATAAAAGATTTCAGTTAAATTTGCGTTAACGGGTTATGCTATTATAGCATATTGTTAACATAACAGTCTTAGATTTAACTCAAACTGGAATTTTAGAAACATCGTAATTTAAAGTCGACTTACTTAAACCTTCAAGGAAAACAGCCGGCCGGAAAAAACGCTTTCTGAGCCGAAATTCTTGATAACATTTAAATTACTGTTTCAGTTTGATCTTCTTAAAAGTTGAGGCATTCTGGAAGTCTTCACCCGAAAATGAAAACAATCACTTTAACACTTCGAAAATTTTAGCACCTTTGAAATGTTTGAATTTTCGTCATCACCAGTTATGTATCCTTAAACTCTTTTATCTGCCACTTTTTTTTTCTAGGAGGAACTGCGGACAAAAAGAAAATAAATCTAAAAGAGTGTGTGAAACGTAATGAGTTTTGAGTCTCCCAGAGCTGACGATCACGACGGAAAGAAATTTCTCTCTCGTAAGTACATTATTTTTTCTGTTAGGCATTAGATATCCAATTTTTAAGATGTTTTCTTTAAAGAAAGTATGTTCAGTGCCTTTCAGTTTTTCTGATTCAAAATCCCGTTGCTTTTATACACCAACTGATTATGAAGAAAAGTTAATTTTCACTCCGTAAAATAATTACTCATGGAAAAGTCTATTTTCTCTTAGGTTACGAGCAATACTTAGATATTTCTGACTTAACTTTCGAAGCTAAGACCGCCAACCGGCCAATTGTTTATTTCTCTCGCGCCAAAGTCCTTCTAGCTTAAATTTTGTTTTTATTCATGAGAGTATTTCATGAAAAGTTCCTTTATTTTTGCTCCTAGTCGGAAAAGTTTTTCTCATTTTAAAGAATGCTGTTGATTTTTAAATTCCTGTTTCATTTATTTTGTAACAGACACGGTCCGAATAGGAGACGGAGAGATTTTGGCGAAATTCAATCGCGCGCTGGCTTCCATTGTAACAACAGAAGGGTAAGAAAGTCTTGAGCTGAATCTTCTTAATATAAATATGACGGGATTCTCAGTTATTCACTGTAATTTAAACTAAAAGCTATAAATATCTTTTAAATTTAAACGTACTTTTGTTAGAAATAAAAAAATAAAATTCCATGTTCGTGTGATGTCGATGAGTCCTCAAAAAATAGCCAAAGAAATCATGGATTTCTGCTTCGTGACATCGTTTATTTTATTAGAGTTCAAACTACTTTCTTTATTTCATTCAATCTAGTTCTTCTTGAGCATTTTTGCTGGCATTTCTTTCAATCGCTGGCAAAATTGTTCTTCCTTGCGCTTTATCTGTGATTTCAGTTTTTTTTTTAATGGAACCGAGGATTTGTGAGAGATAAACTATCGTTTTTTATAGTATCGCATATATCCGGGCTGGGGCTTGTTCCCATGTCGTTGCTTAACTCGCCTGCTTTGCCTGAGGAAGTACGTGCCTGTATTTCTCCGTAGGTGGTCTTTCAAGTTATCATTTCAAAAATCGTGATCAGCATGTGTAATATGTACACATGATTTTGCAAGAAGGCCAATATATGATCACAAATTTCATTAAATAAATTCCTCGGGCGTTACAAGAGAACACGCCTTTAAAACAAGCTGTGCTAACTTTTTAATCAATGAATTTTGGTTTTTTAGTACATAATTGATTCACACACACAGTCAATGACTGATTAAATCTCAACTCCATCTTCAAACTGAAAACACTGAAACAATCCATACAGATTTTTTCAGTTCAGCATTTCAAATCGCGATTAAGTTGCGAAACCGAAAACTTAAAAGTAAGTTTTTATAATATATCTTTGTATAGCGTTTCACGACTGTTAATTAAAAGAAAAAATTCTTGTTTCTTGTCCATTTAGATTTGCCGCCCAGATGGGGAATGTTAATGGAAATTTATGTCATATTCCCCAGAAGAAACTGAAGTTGGCGTAAGTATTTAAAACACTTTTTGTTATATCTTTTCTTTCCGATAAGCTGGTGATTTAAATAGCCGCTAAAAGTAACACCACAAACCTCGCGCATTTTCAATTGTCGGTTAAAACGTTTTAATTATTTTGACAACTGAGCCAGGCGAAATCTAAATTAAAGGAAACCGAAACTCAATGTTAATTTAGTTATTGGCTACTAAGGCCATTAGTCTAGAGTGAGATTTGGAAATTAGAGCGGTTTACAATTGAGTGTTGAAAGTAATCCTGGATCGCTTTGGTTTCAGCTTCACTTTGCTCTGTGATTGGTCGCTAAAACTTGTGCTACCATTTCAACCAATCAGAAGCAAAACTAAAAACCAATCCGTCTTGGTCACTCGCGTTTTCCCGCGCTTCAAGCGGGTTGCCTCTTTCTACTTTAAATTCTGATTGGTTATTGAAGTTCTGATGGTGGTTGAAATTGATTTGGTTTTGGTTTTTGACATTCACTAAGAAACTGTTCTATACGACTGTAGGCTACAGTTAGGCGGTATCTTACATGAATAATTTTGTAAGCTTTTATGTCGCCTATATTTGATATTTGTTCTCCTATTTTATTATCATAATCTTATTTATTTGTACAAGTTAAGAAGATTTTGAAAGTCTTTGCCTGTATAACAGCGCAACTCCGATTACGCATAGGAATAAATTCAGGATTTCTTCGGTTCTGTTTTATCTCGCTTTGTGATTGGTCTATAGACCACTGACGTAGCCATCTCCTACACCAATCAGAAACAGCTAAAACCAATCCCCTGCCAAGTTATACCGCGCACCCTCGCGTTCACTTGCTGTTAAATTGAATTCCTTGTGACTTTGGCTTTTTATATCTTTAACATTTGCGATTACTGTTTTATGGTTTTGCGACACTTGAAGGTTGCATTTGTAAAATATTATCGTCGGGTCTTGAATCTTCTTTTCCTTCATTTTTAGGTCCTCTTTATGGTATCCGGAAACAGCCCTTCATTATCCGGTACCTGGGCTCGCTTATCACTACCTTGTGGGACACGAAAGAGGCATTGATAATCGAGAAAGATCTTTTCATGAGCCTGAGGCTGAAGCGGGAATTATACAGGTCAGTGAACATACATAGATGGCTGCTTTGAGGATACTTTTGTTGGAGTAATTGGACCATCGACGCTAGGCTTTATAAAGTTTAACAACTAATACTGAATTAACTTATGCTAGGAAGAGCCAGCATATGGCATAATTGAGTTTGCGCATGCTTAGCAAGAGACGCAGGGAGTAATGGGAATTAGAAATGCAAGCAATAAGTTCAGCTATTTATTACGCGTGTATGCCTGACGGACCTATATTTCTCTGGGTGGACAGAAAATAATTTAAATAAGAAAAGAATACAATTGAAAATTATATGTAAGAAGAATTAAGTGAATGAAAAAGCTGAAACCAGAATAAGGTTAATAGAAAATAATAATAATAATAATAATAATAATAATAATAATAATAATAAAGAAAAGCTAAGCAAACCAGAGCAGGTTTCGCTGTTTCCACCATTCTACAAAAATATTCATCTTCCATCTTAGAGCGAAACCCGATAACTGCCTTCGTTAAGATATTGGCCACCATTTCTAACAAAATATTCAATAATAGCCATCCAATCTCATTCTCAATGTTTTTCGATTATTAGGCGATCAAGGAATACGATGAATTCGAGGAATGGATTGACGGCTCTACTAAACTCCGCTACTCACCGTATAGCAGAGAGGCCCAAGCACATATTTCTGGGTGGGCTATGAAATATACCAACAACCACAACAAGTTTGTACTTAAGAAGACTTGTGTTGGAGTACTGCTATGTAGTGACGACTGCACACTGCCAAATGGGCTTAAAATTGTCGTTAGACCTGCTATATCTGATAAAGGTAAGCGAACTTCTTGCCTATCTACGTGGCTGTCGGCCCACTCTTAATGTTCCTGAATTCTTGCTTCCTGTTAAGTGGCCTGTCTGTCTTTCTATTCGTTTCTAAGGTTGTCCGTCTATCTGGGGTCTGTCTACCTTTGTCTTTGTTTTCCTACCTGTCTTCCTGTATGTTGGTCTGTGTGTCTTTCTGTCTGTGTATCTGTCTTTCTCTCTGGCTGGAACTCAGATAATCTCTTTTCCATCTGTCTTTCTGTAACTCTGTTGAGCAGGAAGCTAAGTCTACTCCACCCTCTTATTGCAGTTCGGGAAAGACAAATGGGTCAAAATTGTCCAAACGCCACGTGCACAGGAACTCTCGTCCACAGAAAGTGTACAGGTAAGAAAGAATGATTTTTTCTTGTCGAGACTCGGCTTTTTCGTTACGTTGAGTTCTTGTACAAAAAGATTGACATACTCTCATTTTACCTTTCTTTTTTTCTTTCCAGGTAACAACGGATATCCAGTGACCCACTTTTGGGTCCATCAAGAGGATGGAATCTATTTTGAGTCCAAAGGTACCCATGATCACTTCAGGCCTCAAGCAAGAAGAGCAACTCCGGATAGAAATTCAAATAACAAAGTTAGCAGCAGCCAGAAAGGTAACAGCGAGCAAGTGGAGAACACAGAAGACAAAACAGAGAAACAGGAGGTAATTTTAATTAAGTGCGCTGATAAAGAGAGTCACGTGAGGAAATTAAACATAGTGCGCCAGTCAGAGAGACAACTGGGAAAATTCAGTTTGAAGGAACCATGTAGAGTTTTTAATGCGACTAATGTATTAGTTACCTTAAATCACGTGCCTAAGTGGATAACACGTGAGCAGTCACATGCTCCTAAGAAAGCACTGAAGACCCTATCCGTTAGCTTAGTTGACCTGCCTTCTCTTTTTAAAATCTATTGAGTTTATTTGGAGAATTTTTCTTCAGGAGTACAAAACGTCCCTTTTGTGGATTCTAGATGAGTTAAGATTTATTTGAAAATGCAGCATACTAGGCTTGAAGTTTAAGGTCTAAAATTAAGCGAGGAAAATTTATAATGTTGTTTTTTCTCCTTAGAATGCTTCGACGTCCTCTGATGGAAAAAAGCACAAGTCTAGAAAAAGACAACACGCTGAAATAGAGGAAAATTTACTTACAAGGCAATCAGAGATCGTGCAGTTGTCCTCTTCGCTCTCGTCTGGATTATTGAGAGGTTACTCAGTTGAGGAAGAAGACCAATATATCTGTGTGACTGTACCCGAGTCAGAATCCCTCTTTCATAGGGCTCTGTCACATGATCAAACGAACATTACCACATACGGGAAACTTTACTTACTCTGTCAGACATTCCACGATGTCATTCCCGGATTTGACTTGCTGGAGACCCGTATGATATCTCGAAGCGTGATGGGATGGCCTGTTGTTATGGCAACGTTATATCGGCAAGGAACGAAGGAAGGGCAAATTCACCATATGAAGACTTTGGCTCGCCTTTGTTCCACGCCTGATGAAGACTTCTTTTCGCCCAAGGTAATGTAAAAAACCATCTTGTAAATGCTGTCTTTCTGTCTTTTTGTCATGTTATCTGGAGGGAATTGAAAAGTCATGATTTTAAAATCAATGCTTTATTGGCGAAGGGGTATTCCACCAAATGTCAAAGTTATCTTTAAAGAATAGGTAAAGATGATGTTTTTGGTCGGGCCTTTCTTAAATGCAATAAAAAAGATACCCCTCATGCCCTCTAAAATCATTTGGTAGATTGCCTTATCCTCCTTACTAATACGTGATCTTGTTCGTCAACAGTGGCAGATGGTTATCCATGATTTCCCCGCTGACCAGGCACAGATGGTGACCGAGGCCATAGTAAACATGATCATCAATACTCAAGTGCAAACTCTCCTTAAGGTTTTTCAGTACAAAAGCGTCAGCTCATTGTACAAAATGCTCCGAGAAAAGATCACCAGCAGTTTACAGAGCTACGACATGCACTTTGAACTGTGCAAGCGAGAGATAATTACAAGGTTACAAGATCCACTACTCACAATGAAGTTCCGCGACATGACGCAAAGGCTCACGGGAGAGAAATGCACTGCACAGGAATATGTCAGCACGGACTGCATGTTGTCAGGTGAGCTGAGATTATTTTGCGTAATACCAAACGAATGCAATAAAATCCTGAATATGTTTTTAGCGAAAGGAAATTGAAATTCCCGGTGTGTGGAACTTCTCTTTATCAACAATTCAGTTAATAATTTATGTAAAAATTATTTTTTGATAAGAGTCTGTTTTTTCCACAAACGTCAATATTTTTCACTTTTGTCCTTACTGCAAAATGGTCTCGTGCTCAGACCTTTCCCAGCGACAGTGTTTTAATCACATTAGAAGGATTAGGCGTGCTTTTTAGCTGATCCCTTCTTACTTTCATGTCCCACAGGGGGAGTATTTGGATCAGTTATAAGAGAATTCTGGAATTTCTGGGGAAGTAACATCGTGGCTCCGAAAGTGTTCTCTGTGGCCGATGAGTTGGTGGGAAGAAGAGAGAAGTCGGAACAGTGGCAGAGTAGACAGAGAGGTAATTATGAGACGAGGTATCAAGGATTACTTTGAGATTTTTACCGTTAAACGAAGGTTTCTCAAAGTAATATTCTACCGTGAATACAAATTTGTTACGACTGGATCGCGAAGATCAAGTGGAGCTAAATGATCAACTCACGTCGCGTCCAAATTAGAACGTGGGGTACTGGGCACAAACTTTGATCCGAGAGGAACCTAAGGAGACAACACAGCAAGGTTTACCTTGAGAACCAAAGCACTGAAAAAAAATTTCGACAGACCCAAACTTTCGCCACTTCCCGTTGTTTCATTTCCATTGGTAAAATTAACAGAACGACTAAGAACTGAAATAATTATCTCTTTTTTTTGTCTTTTTTTGTTTTAGGTCTCACATTTCCCAGCGATCCACAGAAAGTAACTTTACACCACATGGCCGAGGTAGTGGTCACGTGGTGTCAATATCAGGCTGATCATTGGCCGAAATCAGGTAAACGACGTCACTTTTTGATTTTCCTAACGTACGGGAAACAAATGAAATGAAACGTTCGAAAAAGTTTTTAGACCTTGAATGTATTTAAGGAGTTAATTCGCTCAAAATTTCCATCAAACTTTACTTAACCATTTAACTCCCATGAGTGACGAAGACAGAATTTCTCCTTACAATAACAGTACAATATCATGCAGAAAAGTGATGAGAAATAATGAGGAATATCAATTAGCGGATTATTTGTCGATCCTATAAAATTTCACCGAAGTAACCTCATAAGAATTGCAAAGCAGGCAGTAAGGAGAATTTCTAATACGATCTTGGGAGTACAAGAATGTTTATCTCGTGTGGGATTTCTCGTTACTTTTTTAGGAGGTCAGCCCTGGAATTTTAGGCAATAATTCGTCGTAGCTTAAATGGATATCAATTGTCTTTTTCAGTTGTGCAAGAAAGTATGGCAAAGTTTATACATCTTCGACCGGAGGAGAAGCGACTTCACTACGCTTTAGAAAGACCAGGGTCCGCCTTTCATCGACCAGTCACATACCCCACATTGCCCATGCCCAGATTTCAATGGTGCTGAGTGCATGGGGACCACCTGATTTTAAGTTTTTTGTAAATAAATAACACTGCTTTGATGGAGCATTATTGAAACACTTAGTGCTGCGGCAAGTTCAGTAAATATTGTATAAACTTCTTACAAAAATCTGGTTGATTACAATCAAGGCAGCGCTTGGTCGCTGTAAACGTAAATGAACTCAATTCTAGCAGAGCTACCGCTGACCATGAAACCTGAGTACACTGTTTCATTGAAACTTATCAGTCATTGGAAATGCTGACTGTTAAAAATTAAATTCCCTTAGCAACCTCGTTTTTAAAGGGGCAGCATAAACCTCCGAGAATTCGAATAACAAATATGGTTTCGAAAAGACGTAGGGTGATTAGGGAAAATTAAATTTTTCAAATTCAACGAAGAACTGAAATCCATTTTACTATGTGATATGTCTTACAAAATTGTCACTTGTTGTTTTAATTGCTTTTTCTGTCGTTAAGTATCGAATTGTAAATAATATGTACCGTCTGTGATCATTGGATAATGATGCTTCAGCAAATTGATATTGGTACAATCTAGAAAAGAAAAAACTTTACCGAGGTTTTAGACAGAGAAGATAATTGTTTCTCGAAGAACAAACAACAACTACTAAGCAATCAACTAAAAAATATACCTTAAGCTAGAGTAAATTTTAAAAAAAATGTAGATATGAAAATTTGTACTTATCATTAAATGTCACTTATTAAGTAAAAAATAACTTACGACTTACGGTGAAATAATCAATCCCTTGCACCTTAACATCAGCATGCACATTCTCGATACTGTTCTCTTTACATTTCCCAACGTGCCCACAAGGAGAATTTGTTCAGCAATCAAGAGCGTCTTTAGTTAGAGATCTAAAGATTGCATAATAATTGCGTTATCATGCAGAAAGATGACGAGAGTACAGAAAAGCGAGCGGAGCGTAGCCCCATAATTATACAAAATAGTAGTAACCCATCAAGCCGAAAAAATTTGGATGTACGACCGTACGACCGACCGTACAAGTTGCTACTTTTAGCATGCGCGGCCAACTGTACCACGGGCACTATCCTATAATCAGTCCTCTATACGAACACGGAGAAGTTGTGAATGAAAACCATTAATATCACCACGCACTTTATCCATAGTAGGGGCTCTAATTTTGTTGAAGAGACGTGCGGGAAAAAAAATGCGAGTCCACTTCTAGGCTTGCCTAAATCTATATATTATCATAGTTTGATTCATAGCTAAATTCTCACAGCCTTCCCCAGGAATATATGAAAGATAGTAAAGAGAATCGATACTGAGATCTAAAGGGTGATAGGTTACTGTAAAACAACAAAACTATAAACATTTTACTGAATAAAGGTCATTTTATTTGAATCAGACGGAATCACGAATCAAAGTACAGTTATTTCAATTTTATGGAAAGTATCTTTGAGCTAAAGTACGGAGTATCCCGATTTAACATCGTGAACTTATTTTCAAACATTTTATGAATAAAATACTTTTCATGTACACTCGGAAATCTAAGCAAAACATATTTACAAAGAGAAGATAAAACCTCCCTCTTCCTTCAACGCAAATAACAGTTTTACTGAAGCAAATCTAGTTGAGTTCATGGTTTTCCGTACTCGAAATTAGCGAAGTCGTTGATCATGTCGCAGAAACCGATGTAGTTAAAGTCGTGCTTATAACCTAATACGACGTCGAATTTTTTCTTTATGGCCAAAAATTCCCTCGCACTAACAAGGCTTCCGAGGTCCAGCTCGCTCAGAACGCGATGGAATTGGGAACGAGAGACAGTGCCGTTGTGCACGCGGTCGTAATCCTCAAAGAGCGGGAAAATTTGAATTCGGCATTTGCGCACGCGGTCTGCCAATCGGTGCATGACTAGTTCCAAGGCCTGCTCCTCCTCCAAAGACAGTTTGCAGTATTCATTTTCGGGTTGAGGTCGGAACTGGATCGGAACAATCTCGGGTGCTTTCTCCAGGTCTGCGGAGAATGGAGATTAAAGTTAGAAAGTTAAAAGTGACTCTAAAATTTCGGTGGCGTGACAGCATCCATAGAATGGACATTTGATGTTACAGCGATTATAGAAAAACTTCTTAATGATAGTATGAAACTCAAAAATAATTCTTTTCTGTGGACGACGAACACCAAAGATATCAGAATAGACTGGAAAAAAAAGGCCGAGGATGGAAAGATTTACTTGGGAAGATTTACATAAAAAGTGTTGAGTTAATTTTCAAGATGTACAAACCTCTATTTCTCAATACCTGTTCCAGATGGCCAAGAAGTATTTGCTACGTTTGGCCACTGATATTGGATTTTCTTGCAGTTTCTTGGAATTATGATTTATTTATAAAGATCATATATTGAAAAATAAATTTCATCTCGGTTTAAAAAAAAAGGAACAACAATACAAACCTCTCAGCGTGAAGATAGACTCGATTTCTTCCACAAATGCTGTGTATTGTACATAATCCGGATATCCAATAGCCGTGTATCTATACGAGAAAAAAAATACTTCCTGTAAATCACTGTCCATAATCTTTTGTAAGATAAGCTGAATTATGGAATTAATTTTGATCGGTTCTTGCTAATGATCTATTGGAGGACAGACGCATATATCACTTCACCATTGACCCTTTGCACCATAACATTGGTATCAACATTCTCCCTACCGTTTTCAATACATTTCCTTAAGTGCTCACAAGGAGAATTTGTTTAACAATCACGAGCTTCTTTAGTTGGTTCTTAATGTTTGATTCTGGGGTGATATTATGAAGAGAAATTAGATGTTAGTCACTCTTAGGGGTTAAAGGGCTAACAACATTTTTCTTGGTTATCATATAAAAAGAACAGATTCCATGCTTCCGTGGGTCTGTACAATAATAGATCACAGCAGATGTCAAAATGTGGCAAGTACATCAGTGACACACTCAGCTGCATCTCGTGTGCCACGTTTTTTGTTCTTATTATTATTATTATTAAATTTAAATTTATACCGCGCAGTTTCTATAAAAATATTCAACTGCGCCTTACAATAAATATTAAATTAGAAATTAAAATAGAAGTTCAAGCGAATTCCATCAGTGACACACTCAGCTGCATCTCGTGTGCCACGTTTTTTGTTCTTAACGTCATCTGTGTTTTATTAGTAACCAGACGCACGGCAGCATGGAATCTAACTGCTAAATAGTTAACGTACGGGCTTTTGTAAATATCATACATCCTCAAACTATCAAGGGAAGTGCTAACTCATGGGGGAGTAGGGTGCTGGTGATAAGGCTTAGCTTACTAAAGGGAAAGTGCTAACTCGAGGGGGAGAGGGTGCTAGTGAAAATGTTTGGCTTACTAGAGGGAAGGTGCTAACTCTAAGGGGAGTGGGGTGCTGATAAAATGTTTGGCTTACTCGAGGGGAGGTGCTAACTCTAGGGGGGGAGGGTGCTGGTAAAATGGTTTGGCTTACTAAAGGGGAGGTGCTAAATCTAGGGGGAGTAGGGTGCTTGTGAAAATGTTTGGCTTACGGGAAGGGAAGTGCTAACTCGAGGGGAGTAGGATGCTGGTAAAATGTTTGGCTTACTAGAGGGGAAGCGCTAACTCTAAGGGGAGGAGGGTGCTGGTGAAAATGTTTAGCTTACTGGAAGGGAGGTGCCAACTCGAGGGGGAGTAGGGTGCTGGTAAAAATGTTTGGCTTACCAGAGGGGAGGTGCTAACTCGAGGGGAGGAGGGTGCTGGTGAAATTGCTTGGCTTACTTGAAGAGAAGTGCTAACTCGAGGGGGAGAGGGTGCTGTTGAAAATGTTTGGCTTGCTAGAGGGGAGGTGCTAACTCGAGGGAGACGAGGGTGCTGGTGAAAATGTTTGGCTTACTATAAGGGAAGTGCAAGTTTCAGGATTTACAGTATAATTTAAATCAGAAAAAGTTATGCACAATACCTGTTCATAAGCTGTTCCACTTCCACCTTGGTAAGTTTAAGTGACGCTAGGTCCATGGCTCTGGGAAATACAGTCTTAAGTATTCTTCCCGTGCGCAGCTTGTCGTAATCCTTGCAGAACTCAGACAGTCTCATTCGTTCCTTCATCACACGGCATTTTATTTTATACATGATCTTCTCGATGTTGTCGTCACCCAAGTCGGGCAAATGTTTCTGGTTGGTTAGTTTTAGTTCTTCCAATCTCCGCAGATATTTCAACTCTTGTTGTTCTGACGGCTGTAAACAAATGAATGGCGATCATAAGTCGTGTTTGGAACATGACGAATTATAAAATAAAAGTTTTCCCAATAATACACAGTTTGGCAAAGACATAAGACGGAGCGGCAATGATGAACTACAAGGGACAAGGAAGATCAAGCATGGATGCATTTTAATCCTTTAACCTCTTGGAAATGATCGCCAGGTACAGAAGATTAGAAAAAATGCATATAAAGACATCAAAGGGTCATAACGAGGCCAAACGACGGCTGGGAAGAGGAGTAGTTACGCTGTGGAATTGGTTCAACTAAAAACCCGATCCAGTCCCTGGCTAACAGATTTCCCGCACTCCGCCCGAAAACCAGGTATTTTCATTGCGTTTTCTTTCTCCACTTGGAAGCTGCCATAGCATGCGTTTTTTACCTGAAGATCATCCAAGAATTGAATATAGTTGAATCCAATATCATCTGAGTATCTGTTCTGGAGAACCTAAAAACGATTTTAGAAAAATTGCGAAATTAAACGATGGATTTTTTAAATTCCCACAAGATAAAAATATCGGCGAATAATCCTGAAAACATGTCTTAACCGGATGAGATAAAATGGGTTGCCTTCTCTTACCATCCTGCCGGGTCCCCAATTAAGATATTTTCAGTGCTCATGGTTTTCTACTCATGAGTTGAAAGAGGCACTATGGCAGCGAAGTGTCTGTCTTCATAGCACAACACAATCATTCAGGATATGAATCGACCTACGACTGCTCGACATCACTCCAGCACACTGATCATAATACCATTTCTGATCAGCATGGAGCTTCGCTGCACACGCTGCACACGCTATGAGCTCCGCTATTACCACGGTTGTAAATTGAAATTATACTTTAAGGTAATCTGCGGTTAGGGCAGAAAAAGGCTTGGACTTTTGGTTACCTTGATTTCTTCGGGAACATCCGTCAGGCCTAGCATGTGTAGACATTGACTGGCCTGGATCTTTGTCACGTGACCGTTGTTGTGCCTGTCACAAAAGGGAAACATAATTTGCTTTGAAAAGACTTCAAGTGTTGCTTTAAAATCATACAAGACAGGGGGCGCTTAAAACGACTGAATGGAAGGCGA